TATGCAGTTAAGTTACTTGGAAGCAGTTTGATCCTTTTGCATTTTGCTTTCAAATTTTATTAGGAAGGACTGGAGCTTTGGGGGTTAATTTTTCCCTATTTCTCAGATGAGATCCTTTTTTGTCTCCTGAACAAAGGCTGTGAGAGATTAATTGGGAAAAGCTGGCTAATACTCATCTGAAATTTGTGGGGGACCCTCTACAGGTCTCCAGAGTGTTCTATCTGTGCAACTGTCTCCTCTCTGGTGCTCTGTCTTGAGAACTCCAGCTGTCTTGGTCTCCTTGGACTTTCAAAACAGTAAACTAGACAGCTGTAGGACTCACTTCATTGATTTCCCATGCTTTGTGGATCAATGTCCTTTGTTATTTGACATCCAATGTCTTAAAAACTGTTGTTTCATATATTATGTCCATTTTTTTTTTGGTCTGCAGTAGTTTCAAGCAGGAGGGTATATCCAGTCCCTGTTACCCTGTCTTGGCCAGAAGTGGCACACATTGCATCTGACATGGCTCCTTGGATTTGGCTGGATGAACATTTCATCACTCCTTGAAATTGGGATGAGACTTGAGAACTGGGAGAGGGCAGCTTTGTAGCCACAGAACACTTGAGGCTCATTCTTGGGTTCCTTTTGTGACTTTCCCACCTTGAGACTTCCACGGTATTCACTTTAATGGAACTTCACCCAAATAAAGATGTAAGGGGCCAGGTGCGGTAGCTCATGCCTGTAATCCCAGCACTTTGGGAGGCTGAGGTGGGTGGATCACCTGAGGTCAGGAGTTCGAGGCCAGCCTGGCCAACATGGTGGGCCCCGTGTCTCTACTAAAAATATAAAAATTATCTGGCTATGGTGGCAGGCACCTGTAGTCTCAGCTACTCGAGAGGCTGAGGCAGGAGAATCGCTTGAACCCTGGAGGCAGAGGTTGTAGTAAGCCGAGATCGCACCATTGCACTCCAGCCTGGGCAACAAGAGTGAAACTCCATCTCAAAAAAAAAAAAAAAATGTATGGATACAGAGAGCACATGTACCACCTCTGCAGGAAGTCCCTGCTTGTCTTCACTCTGAGACTCCTTCCCTGGTAGCAGTATTTAGGGTGCATGCCCAGCTGCTCCCTCTCCCAGCCATGCAGGCTGAGATCCAACGCCACAGGTAGCTAGCTGTACTCCTGGTGCTGGTGGGGATCACTATGAAGCTGGAGCAATACTCGCAGAAGCACAAGTGCATCCTTATGAGGAACATCTCACAGGTCTGGGGTGGACCAGACCATAGGCAGGTCCACTGGATCCCCCAGGATGAGTTCCAGAATGTCTGTCTCTCTGGTAGTCTCACGCAGCCCCACCACACCTGGGTCCCCAGCCCCTCCCTCAGTCTAGAGACCTCCTCTTGGGGCTACATGTTGGGGAAGTCAGGTAAAAGGCAGCCAGCCACACATATCAGTTTGGGGCCGCATACGGTCAGGTGGTCCCTCCTCATTCAGGTCACTGCCCTGGTTCTGTGCTGACCCAGAGGTAATAATCGTCCTGCTAGCATAATGTCAGCAGCAAATGGGGCAAGGCAACAGGGGTCATCAGACAGCCTCGCCCCAGACAAGGCCACACTTCACTAGCCACAGTTGTGAAGAATTGAGGGAAATAAAACATGTTTTATTCCCAAGTAGACATTAGTTTGTGTCTGATTTATCAGGCCAAATGGAGCTCACATGGGTGTGAGATGACCATTTCTCCTCTCACAAGGGAAGTCTGTTTTATTTTCAGAAACATGCTATTTTATTTTGGCTCTATGGGCCATGCTTTTTTCATGTTTATTCCCAGGGCCTGGGCAGTTTTGTCCTGTGTGGGAGAAGCACACTGGCCTTTTGGCCTGAGTGCCTCTGCTCTGGCCAATTCAGGCGCTGGTGGCGAGCAGAGCTATGCAGGGAGAGACAGCCTCAGGCTTCTAATTCCCGGACACCACCCACTTATGGCGCTCTCACAGAGCTGCCTATCACTGCCCGGAGTCCCAGGGCCTCAGAAGGAGGCTCAGACACGCAGAGGGACCAGGAAAAGCACAAAGGAGCCGAGGTCCGACTGTGGGCATCGGTGCAGTGGGCTGGGTGGGCACCAGGTTAGGCCATCACGAGCCCTGCCCAGGGGACAGCAGAGAAGCTGCAGAGCCTGTAGTGCCCCCCCAACCCCTCAGACCTCTGACTGTCCTGCCACCTTCTCTCCAGACCACAAGGGCATCCAGATGAGGGCCAGACTTTCTGGGGCAGGGAGGAAGGCAGGAAAAATATAAAGACGCCAATTCTAGACCAAGCAGGGCATCGGTGCATCAGTCTCCTGGGGCCGGGGGAGGGTACATGGGGCACAGAGCTGGGTCTAACGGGGACCCGCCAGAGAGGCCATCGGGGGCTGCTGAGGCTGCACAGAGTAGCCAGGAAGCACGGAGCATTCGACTGTGACCATCTGAAATCAACTACTCGGGAGAGGGCTCCCTCAAAGACTGAAGTGCAGTCATGCCACTCTTTGGCCAGAACCCTCTGGTGGCTTTCCAGCTCACTCCACATCAAACCCAATGTCCTCATGACAGTCTATGGATGGGCTCCGTGCCACCCCTTCAGCCGCCACGCCTGCCCTCTCTCCTGCTGTCCCTTTGCCTCCGCCTCCAGCCCCATCCTGTGAACACATCAGGAAAGCCCTCTTCACACTCCCTGCCCTGAAATCTTCCTCCTCAGCGCTGACGCATGGCTCCCACCTCATCTCCAGCAAGCGCTCCAACGCCACCCGCTTCCCTTGCACCATGAGTCCCCCAAGCCCCGACTCTGGTCTGTTTCTCCTGCACCATGTGCGGTAACTGCTGGTGTGTGATACAGTCCCCCGCGTGGTTCTCCTCACAGGAGGGAAAAGTTCCACAAAGGCAGATTTTTGTTTTGTTTTGTTTTGTTTTGTCTGGTTGAGAACAGGTATCTCTCTCCTGCCTAGCACAGTGCCTGGCGTGCGGTTGATGCTTGAAAAATATTTGCCAAATGGGCTGACCCCCTGAAGCAGAGCGCTTTCAGCAGACATGGAGTACACAGGCCCAGTCCCACACAGGGATTGAGAACCACTCGGGCAAGAATGCCTCAAAGCCTGGCAGAGGCCAGGGGTCTGTGGCCCGGGGAGATGCTCACAGATGCCCAGGTCTGTAACTGTGAATATTCACACTCAAGCGGTTCTGGTGGCCCATAGTCCTGTAGGTGCTTAATCAGGGCACAGGAAATCAAAAGCGTGCCCCTCTGACTTGACCGAAAGTACGCGCTGGATGTTAAAGAAGCCTCCACACACGGGAAGGCAGAGGAGCTTTGTCACCAGAATTTCCCCAGGTTTGTGACCTCCCTCAACTGCCCTTGGCCCACTGAGCTCCTGTAAAGCTCCAGCCAGGTCCCCTGAGGGGAGGCTGGAATCCCCAAGGGGGTGGACCCAGGGAGAGGGCTGGGCACACGCAGCAGGCAGCACCACACAGCAACACCCGTGCACACACACGCACACATGCGAACACACACACTCACACACACGCACATGCATGCACACACGCGCACACACATATGCACACACACACAGGCGCACACACATGTACGCCTAGGACACAGCCATGAGATGCGTGGGGAGACAGGGCTGGGGGCCATGACATGCATGTGGACATGGCCGGCTCTGTGCCTGCCGAAATGGGGACAGTGGAGACAGTGGAGACAGGCAGCACGATAGCGTGGGTGCACAGAGGTCAACATGAGGTTAGAGGCAGAAGAGAGGGGTTGGGACGTGATCAGCAGATGGGCCCTGCTTCCAGGGTGCGAAATGGCACACTTCAGGAGTCACAGGATGTGGGGTAGGGAATAGGGAGGGCTCAGCGAGCACAGGGTCCCCTGGCAGGGGCTCCGTGCCCAGGCCCACCTGGGACTCGCCCTCGGCCGCGTCCCCCAACTGTGTACCCAGTCACAGGTGCCCACCCTCAGTCTGGGCGTGGCGGGGATGGCCCTTAAGACGAGGAGCTTGAGGAGCATACACATCACCATGCAGGCATCCAGGGTGACGGGTCAGCCACCTGAGGATGCCATGTCACAGACATGGAAATTTTGTTTCAAGGTCTGTAAGGAATTTTAGGGATCCAATCCAACTTGCTGATTTTACAGAAGGGGAGAGGGCTCAGTCATGCAGGGAGCTGGCAGGAAGGAAGGGCCTAGAACCCAGACCTCCTGGCCGGAGAGTGGGGCCTCACCGTTTATGTGCCCGCTGGCCAGAGAGGGGGTGGGCGAGGAAGGGGTTGTGAGGGGCCCTGGCCCAGGAGTGACAGGGGCTTGGGGGCAGAGGTCACAGACTCCTGTACATCCTCTCCTTGGGCTGGATCTCATGGGGGACCCCTGCCATGCTGAGTCACATCAACAAAGAATGAGGGGAAGGAGATGAGATGATAGAAAAGGGAGAGAGGAAAAAGCAGAGAGACCCAGCTCCAGGAAGAGCAAACTGCTCAGTCCCTAGAAGTGGCCGCAGCAGGATTTGTAAAACATCGCCCAGTTAAACTGTGCTAGACCTTGGGCCAGGAATGGCCCTCTGCTTCCCAACCACTGACTGTTTTACAGATGGGGACACTGACACCCCAAAGAGGGCCCACGCCTTGCAAAGAGCTACTGGAAAGTCTGCAGCTGTTTAGGGGCAATGTCTAGCTGGCTGCCTCTGACTCAGCTTTTTCTCATACACCAGGCCCTCTGGGGATGCAGTTGCTGATGGCAAGGGCCTGGAGGCCATTCTGCAGGGCTGCAGAGGCACAGTCGGCAGGCAATGCCCACCTGTACAGGAGCAGCCATCTCTCTCTCCTTCACCTCTGCTTCCCCCCGAAAGGAGGAACTCATTGCTAACGAACCAGCCCTCCCACCAGTGGGAGGCAGAGCGGGCTTTGAGGGATGAAGTATTATGGGAAGGGGTTATTGGTGCTGATGCCTGAAGGGCAGGGCCCCGGCTCAGCCCCCACCTGGTCCAGGTGACACTCACCATTCATCTGGGAGGGTGACAGCGAGTAGTCGCGGTCCGTGTGCCGCCTGTCTGGCTTCAAGTTGCGGCTCTGTCGGCCAGAACCCTCCAGCATGTTCACGATCTCGCCACGGTCGATGCTCTGCAGGGCTGTGCACAGATTTTCCACTGTGGGTGCAGAAGAGAGATATGCGTTACTCCAGGCCAGCGAGCAAGGATCACATGGGCTCAGAAAATGGGGTCAGGATGAAGATGGAGAAGGGAGATAATTTTTTTCAGAAGGTGGAGGTACCCTCTTTTCTTAGAATCAAAACAAACTTCCTCTTGGGAGAATACTTTTTATACTTCAACAGATCTTTTCCAAACGCTAACAGTGGGCAGTTATTTTACTTACTGGCCTGTTACCAAAAAAATAGTAAATTATTTTATTTATTGGTCTCACTCTGTCACCCAGGCGGGAGTGCAGTGGGGCAATCTTGGTTCACTGTCCATCTCCCAGGTTCAAGCAATTCTCGTGTCTCAGCCTCCTGAGTAGCTCAGATTACAGGTGCATGCCACCTCACCCGGCTAATTTTTGTACTTTTAGTAGAGACAGGGTTTTGCCATGTTGGCCAGGCTGGTCTCGAACTCCTGACTTCAAGTGATCTGCCTGTCTTGGCCTCCCAAAGTGCTGGGATTATAGGCGTGAGCCACCGCGCCCACCACAGTGGCCAATTTAAAAGTCTAGAAAGACTGTTTTTTATTTTTATTTTTATTTTTGTAATCTAAGAGGAGTACTACAAGAAAATAAGGATTAGAATGATTAGATTCTGTCCTTTTGAAATTCTTGGTCCTTGCCAGATGATTTGAGATGCAAATGTAAACACTCAATTTCTACTTAGTGGTTTTGAGTCTGGGAATCTGGTTGAGGAGGAGCTGAAAAGAGAACGAGGCAAAGTTCCCTCCAGGTTGGAGGAAGCTCCTGGGAGAATGAGAACTGGTTCAGACTGGGGTCCAGCTTACCCAGACTGTGTCCTGAGAGGACAATACTCGTTTGCTTGGGAAATTCAACAGGAAGACCTCAAAGATGAGTCATACACCCTGCACACACATTGTCATCTAGGAGTCCTGAAGCAATTTTTATTTTATGTTTTTTAGAGTCAGGGTTTTGCTTGTTGCCCAGGCTGGAGTGCAGCAGTGCAACTGTAGCTCACTGAAGCCTTGACCTCCCAGGCTCAAGTGATCCTCCTGCCTCAGCCTCCAGAGTAGTTGGGACTACAGGTGTGTGCCACCACACCCAGCTAATTTTTAAAGGGTTATGTTACATAGTCTGCTCTCAAACTCCTGTGCTCAAGCAATCCTCCCACCTTGGCCTCCCAAAGTGTGGGGACTACAGGTGGGAGCCACTGTGCCAGGCTTTGCAATTTTTATCTTATTCCAAGGATATTAGAAAGGCTGAGGCCAAGCTTCTCTGATCATGCCTTCCGGCAGGACTGCCTGGAGACCTCCTGATGCGAGAGGCGCATGCGTGTGTGTGAGAGAGACAGACAGACTGACTCCAGAGGCCAGTGTCATGAATGGAATTTGAAGAAAGAACAGTTGGGTGGGGAGGAGGTCCTAGGACAGGCTTCCTCAGCGGGACGGTACTGACTGTCTGTGTTTTGGCCTTCACGGATGACCCAGAGGTTCAGCAAGGCCACGCTCTGCTCCAACAGGGAGTTGGGATTTTCCACTCGGATCCTATTGATGTCTTCCACACTGAACTGCAGCTCCCGGGCCAACTCTGCAAGCAAAGAGACAACGGCAAATGTGAGCCATGCAGGGGGCCTCCAGCACACAGGCTGGGTGGGCACTGGGGCGTGAGGGCACCCAGTGGGGAGCACAGGGAGCTCTGAGGCAGCCTCCCTGTGGATTTGGTCTTCCTTCTTATCAAGAAGTTCCTTATGAAATGCCAGCACCTATACCTTTATATCTCCAGAAAATGGAAGAATGGGAGGGGTGCTTGATAAATAGGTCCTGAATGAATGAATGAATGAATGATTAAATGTCCTTTCTTCCTTTCATAACTTCCAATATGAGATGACATGACCTTTCAGCAAGGTCAGCAACTTCTGCAAGGTCACAGAGTCAGTGAGTCCCTGAGCCAGGAGGGAGCCGCACCTGCCAATTCTCACCCCAGCGCTGCCTTGGCCACACCAGGACACCACGCCCTGCTGCCGAGAACCAGTGAGAACAGAAATGGACTCCTGAGCTTATGCTTCTTCAGGGAGAGGTGTTATTTACATTTAAAATGAAAATACAAGTTCCCATCTAAATGCAAGGCAATAATGCAGACTGTTAGCCAAAATCCCCCATTATGTTTATTGTTATTTCTTTAGAAGGAAAATAGCATTAGAGTTTAATTTCAAGGATGAAGAAGACTGGGGAGAAAGTGATGGTGAGAATCAGAACACGCACACACAACACAAACGTGCACACACTCACAACACATATGCGCGCACACATGCATGCACATACACGCCCCCTGAGCAGCCAGCAGTCATGGTTTAAAGAAAGAGCCATGTCTGGACTTCTGTCTTTTCACAAGTTATTGCCAAAAGGTTTCTGAGTATGTCTAAAGTCTTCTTTAGTGAATGAAGTGAAGTGAAGTGAATGAAGGGAGTCTACTCATATAAAGGCTAACAAAAAATAAGGAGGGGGAGGGGAAGCCATCTTCTCAGCGTCAACAAGAATTGAGCGCTGGGCTCTGGACAGAAATACAGTTATAATTAAGCATTCACCAAGCTGCATTTGGGTCCTCTTCTTTGTTGCTCAAAGCCACACAGTGCTGGATACTGACCACTTGCACCCCCATTGTTCCTAAAGACAGGGTTTCTGACATTAGGCTTCTGTTTAAGGATCCCTTAAGATGGTTTTCAGAATCCCAATTCCAGCAACCAGTCTGAAGGCAGGGATCAGCACGAGAACGTAGCTTCTTCCTCTCCCTGTCCATGACTTCACCCTGTACTTTCCAACCAATCAACCACCTCCACACTTCAGCCACTCCAAAGCCTTTAACAGCCCTAACCCTAAACGCCTCCTTGGGGAGATGGATTTGAGGTTTCCTCCTCCCTCCTTGTTTGGTGGCCCTGTGCTTAAGCCTCTTTCACTGCTGCAACCCTGTGTCTCCGTGTGTCTTGACTTGCCATTCACATTGGGCAATGGACCTGCTGCGGTTACACAGGGAGAATCCAGTTCTAGGGTCTGTGGTTGGGCACAGCACATTCTGAGCCTTCACTTTATTTGCCCACCTACCTCCCTTAAATAAGATCGACCCCGACGCCTGGCAGGACTTCTGCGAGATCCAGGCACAGCCACGGACTATAGTGAAATATGTTAAGACTTGCCCTCTCCTTCCCTCCTTTTCAAGGTCGCCTGTAACCTCAAAAGTTGATTCTTTCTTAGAAAGGAAAGTCAGACAGAGATGGAGGCGGGGGCTCCCCCTTCCATGGGCACTCAATGGTGTGGCTTGGACAGCAGACCCAGCTCAGACAATCACAAATCAGATAACCCATGGGTGATAAAAGGAGGGTTAGAAATGCCTCATTCATTGCTCATTACGGGGGAAGAGGGTAGGTGAGACGGACAAAGTGCTTTTCTGCCCCCAATTCCACACTCACCTGCCCAGCTGAGACCGAGGTGCTCTGAGATAACAGCCATCTTCTCTGCCTGGTCTGTCCCGCTGAGAAGACCTGGGGAGAAGCATTAGATTTCATTTAGTAGCCAGGGCAGGACACAGTTGACAGGCGTGAGGATACGGCCTTTGATGGACGTGGCTTCCGCGTGCACTGGGGTGATTGTCTAGACTCTCTGCAAGATCAGGGGAAGACCCGAGTCAGCTCTGCAGCTGCTTTTGGAACTGGCTGAGCGAGCGGCACCTCAGCAGAGCCCTCACAGGGCTGCAGGGAGATAAGCTCACACCCACCCTTCTTGGGAAGGGAGCAAGCATGCATTATCACACAGAGGCTGTACCTGGTGTGGACTCACTGAGAATGCTGTATCGCAGGGCCAGGGGTGTGGGGGTCCTTCTCCTATCTTCAGCTCCGCTTCCCTGCAGAAGAAGAAAGGGTGCTTTGGGTTTTGGACTCTCCCCACCTTCCTAGAGAAGGTGATCTGAGCTCCTATGATGCAGGGGTGGGGAAGGCTGACCCCAGTCCTGGTAAACAGTCCGTTTCTTCAGGGACTTAGCACAAAGAGTAACGCATGGGAGGAGTGGGAGTGAAGGGAAGCTGACGAAGTGTACATGCGTTATTAATCACAGTCATAATAACGGCAAGCTCACGTCACCCCATCACCTGTGAGGCCCTATTTAATGTTCATGGCAACGTAGGAGCTGGGTACTGTATTACTACCATTTCATCAATAAGGAAACTGAAGCATAGAGAGACTAAGTTCCTTGCCCAAGATCACCCAGTTAATAGGTGGTGGAGCTGGGTTTGAACTTAAAACAATTGTTTTTCTTTTTGGATTTCTTTCTGCTTCAAAGACCCGTTTCTGTACTGCCCTAAGGCCTTAACATCACAGCCCTGTGGAAAGCATCCAGATGCTTGCCCAAGGCTGCAGAAAAATATTCTCTCTCTTTTGTTTTTAAGAGCCAGGGTCTCACTCTGTCTCTGAAGCTAGAGTGCAGTGCAATGGCACGATCATGGCTCACTGCAGCCTCAAACTCCTGGTCTCAAGTGATCCTTCTGCCTCAGCCTCCCGAGTGCTGGGGACTACAGGTGCATGCCACCATGCCCAGCTAATTTTTCATTTTTATTTTTTTGTACAGACAGGATCTCACTATGTTGCCCAGGTTAGTCTTGAACTCCTGGGCTCAAGCAATCCTCTTGTCCCAGCCTCCCAAAGCACTGGGGTTACAGGCATGAGCCTCTGTGCCCAGCCTGAAAATCCTCTTTTGAAAGATAAGTTGGTTCACCCTCATCTCATCCCCAAAAAGAAAAGAGATTGAGCCATGGACTTATGAATGTAACCTTGCTTCTTTCCTAGTTTAGCATGGAAGGCTAATGATTAAAACAACAACAACAGCAAAACAACACCAACGAAAACCACGGAGACGGTCTGGAGACGTATGATCCCTCCAAAGTCCCTAGCAGAGGTGGTGACTGGGATACTCTTACAGGTATCGACAAATGAACATACGTGGCCAAGACTCCTTTGCTGAGCTCAAAACCCTGGGTGTTTGCAGTGGCTGAGGACACCAGGCTTCCCTTCTGTGAGGGCCTAGCACCCTGGGAAGATAAGCAGGTAGATGAAAAAGCGGCCTGAGAGAAGCCATGCCGGGGCTGGGAGACCTTAGCAGCTCTCCTTGGTGCGAACCTTGGAGGCCTCGGGCCAGGGATACTGAGGCAGATGCTCTTAGGGCCCCTTGCCACCTTCACACCTAGGGAGCCCAGGGTCCACAGCGTGAATGTGCCCATCACCATCTCATACCAACATTTGTTCCTCCTGTCACATAACCAGCGCTGCACGTGAATTGCAGAGAGGGCCAGGGCACGGTCTCCCCCCAGGCCACAACATGAGCATGTGGAGGAGAGCTCAGCACCTTTGTGTGCCTCGGGGGACTCAAAGGTTCCACCAGAAAGAAGCCCCTTGGAAGTGCTGGACCTGGGGTCTCTTTGGGGACCGCCTATGGGGAAGCCTTCTCTGGCCAAGGCTCCTCGGCAGGTGCCAGCTCACCTTGCTGCAGGGGGGCATGGTGATGTTCAGGTGGCAGAGTATGTGCTGGGTGTCCTCGTACTTCATCGCCTTGCGCAGAAATGACAGGGACCCTCCCGGCTCTCGACTGCTGTCCCTCACCTAAACTCAATCACACAAAGGAGAATTCAGGGGCCCTTTCCTAGGCCACTGGGCTGTCTGGTTTAGAGAATTCTGCCTCCCCAACTTCCTAGACCCAGAGGAGAGGTCAGCCAGAGGGTGCCGGCACCTTTACAGGTATGGCCAGACGGTTCTCCCGAAATGACTGGAAGTGGAAGCTCCGCTGCTGGGCAGCTTTCTTCACAGGCACCAAGTTCCCGGAGAGTTCTGCAAAGAGGGACATTCCTTCCAACACCTACAGGAGAGGAAAAGCAGATACAGCTTGTCAGGGAGAGAAGGGCCCAGATGTCCCACCTTCAACCTTCGGTCCTTCCCTCTCCAAGACACACCCTGCCACAGCAAGAGGCATGGGGGTGTGTGCTGAGAAATCCACTATTTGTTTTGGGAAAGGCTTTATTTCTAAAATTGTGATCAATGAGGCATGCTTCCTGACTTCAATGGATTTTGTTACATGTAGCGATCTTCTAATATCCCTGAGATGTTGATGAGAATTGCTATCAAGTACTCCAAAACGTCACTTGAATATCATAACATAGTTTCTGAAAAACAAACAAACAAACAAAAAAAAAACACCACCACCACCAACAAAAAATCCTGGTTCTGGGCTGGGCATTGCGGCTCATGCCTGTAATCCCTCCATTTTAGAAGGCCAAAGTGGGAAGATTGCTTGAGTTCAGGAGTTTGAGACCAGCCTGGGCAACACAAGGAGATCCCCATCTTTACAAAAAAAATGTTAAAAATTAGCCAGGTGTGGTGGCAAGTGCCTGTAGTCCCAGCTACGTGGGATGCTGAGGCAGGAGGATCACTGGAGGACAGGAGTTTGAGGCTGCAGTGGGCATGATGGCACCACTGCACTCCAGCCTGGGCAACAGACTGAGATCCTGTTTCTAAAAATAAAACCAAGATTCTGTTTTTACGTCTGTCCAAAGATGCTTTGTTCATGAGAAGAGCTGGAAAGCACTTGCTCTATTTTAATCTCACCGATAATAATGGTCCCTACTGTGTATATATAAAGCTTTCAACTGAGAAGTTATCATTAACCCATTTGACAGTTGAGAAAATTGAGGCCCAAAGAGAAAAACCGGTTTGCCTCGTTAGTGCCTAAGACAGGATTAGAACCAAGGTTCCAGTCCTGCGCTTGTTCTATGGGGCCCTCAGCCTTCCCCAGGAAAACTCAGCACAGATTCTGAGGCTTAGATCACTGCTGGCTTACTACACATCTTAAACCAAGTGGGTCTCTTAGGGTCGGGAACCGGTTCAGACCTAGCCCCCATGCCTTCACTCTGCGCATTATCTGTTGAGCCCTTTCCTCTGCCTCCTTACTTGGGTGCTACTGAAACTCTAGCACAGCAGGTCACAGTGTGGACTCGGGCCAGAGATGACCTGGATAAATCCTGTCTCGACCATTCACTTAGCTGTGTGACCATGGGCACATTACTTAACCTCTCAGCCTCAGTTTCTTAATACCTAAATAAGGAATAATAAAGGTACCCACAAATATGAGAATTAAATGAGATTATGCAAGAAAAACATTTTTAGTTATTTGTTTAATAGAGATGGCATCTCACTATGTTGCCCAGGCTGGTCTCAAACTCCTAGGCTCAAAGCGATCCACCTGCCTCAGCCTTCCAAAGTGTTGGGATTATAGGCATGAGCCACTGAGCCTGGCCAGCACTTTCGTTTGTTTGTTTTTTGTTTTGTTTCTTGCCCCCACCACCATACCCAGCTGGCTAGTACTGTTTTTTGTTTTTTGTTTTTTAAGACAGAGTCTTGCTCTGTCGCCCAGGCTGGAGAGCAGCGGTGCGATCTCGGCTCATTGCAACCTCTGCCTCCCGGGTTCAAGTGATTCTCCTGTCTCAGCCACCCGAGTAGCTGGGATTACAGGCCTGTGCCACCACGCCGGCTAATTTTTGTATTTTTAGTAGAGACAGGGTTTCACCATGTTGGCCAGGCTGGTCTCTAACTCCTGACCTCAGGTGATCCGCCCACCTCGGCCTCCCAAAGTGTTGAGATGACAGGCGTGAGCCACTGCGCCTGGCCTGTCCAGCACTTTTAATAGTCCCTGGTGCACAAGACCTTCTGCAAATGCCAACTCTTTTCACAGATCACTGGACCAAAAGCCTGCAGCCTCCTCTGATATGTGCATGGTGGCATCTCTCACCTTTCCTGAAGCTTATCTAAGATGCTTCTCAAGAGGGGTCTCAAAGAGAGACAGCTGTGGAGCCCCTCGTCTACAGAGGGAGGACTTCCGGCCTGCACCAGGCAGGGCTGTTCTGGAGAAATGGCGGGAGGGTTTGTCCCAGAGGCGGTGCAGGGCCCAGCCCCGTACCTCTATGTCCCTGCTCCGGGCCACCTCCACGAAGTTCTCATGCTGCTCCAGGGTCTTGTCCACTTTATCATCCGTCATGCAGTAGCAGCGCAGGCGCCCCTCTCGGGGGTCATTCATCTTGGCAAAGATGACGAATTTGGCCATGTAGGGCACTGCGGTGAGCTCTTTGTACAGCAGGGTGGCGAAGTTCACAGCCTCAGCGGTCCGAGGACAGTCTGACAGCCAAAACCTAAAAAGGAGGGCACGTTATAATGTGTTCCCAAGTGCCCAACAGAGAGCATCCTTTCCGTCCAGATGGAAGCAGCCCATGAACCATGCCATGGCTACTCTCGCCACACCTGTGGTCACAGAGGCTTCCATGTGGAGGGGACAGTGAGGGAGCCTCAGTCTCAGGCCTGAGGATGGCCCACACAGTGCTGGGCTGGGCTGGCCTTGTCTCACCTGGCGGAGACGTTGGTGGTGAAGTTGGCGCACTCGTTGGCATATACAAGTTTGGTGGTTCCTGTTATGTCTTCCCACTGAGCTTGGTCTGTTCCTCCTGTAACACCGGCAGAAACGGGGCTGGGGACAGTCTTCAGGACGTAAGCATGGAGCTTACTAAAATGCTAAGGCCCTGGTGTGCAAGGTGAGACTGGGTGAGGCTCACTTGGTCTGCAGCCCTGGGCACACCTACCCTCACCCTCTGCCCTTCCTCCTAGCGACCTGCATGCCCCTCCTCCTAGGGCTTGGAGGGTTCTTCCCCAGGGCCATGGACTTTTTTTTTTTTTATTTTTAGATGGAGTTTCATGCTTGTTGCCCAGGAGTGGAATGAACTCGGCTCACTGCAACCTCCACCTCCCAGGTTCAAGCAATTCTCCTGCCTCAGCCTCTGGAGTAGCTGGGTTTACAGGCGTGCGCCACCACGCCTGACTAATTTTTGTATTTTTAGTAGAGATGGAGTTTCTCCATGTTGGTCAGGCTTGTCTCGAACTCTTGACCCCAGGTGATCCACCTGCCTCGGCCTCCCGAAGTGCTGGGATTACAGGCGTAAGCCACTGCATGGGCATGGACTTTTATGCAGATGCATCATCCTTCCACCTCTTGGAAGAGCACCTCACTCCCAGGGAAGCCAACAAAAACTAAGGGGATTGCTGGCCTCGCCTTCTCATGTCACCCCCCTACTGTGTTCCAGAAGCACTGCAGCTGTGGAGAACACAAGTCTGAGACAGGGGCCCCTCTCACCAATGACGCTGCAAAGCAGGCGCAGGCTGGTGGTGTCTCCCTCCCCGCTGTCCCTCGGGTTGTCGGTCCAGGAAGGAGGTAGCGGGATCCGAAGTCCGATGGGGCGGTGGAACTTCCGGCGCCGGGGCTCCACGGTGACAATGGGGCTGAATGTGGCCTGGTTGCCCAGGAGCTTAGTGACAAGCTCATCTGGGACAGGCTGGGCCTGTGAAATGACAGAGGCAGGACACTCAGGCCCAAGCAGGAGAGGGGCTAGTCAGACTGGAGGCAGCTCCATGCCCGGAGAGAGTGGCCGTCGGTGCATGGGGTCCCCTCTGCTGTTGGACCGCAGGACTGACATGGTGGAGCTCGCCTTCCTGAGCCCTTTCTCCCCTTCTCTGCTTCTTACTCCCAGGGCTGGTGCATCTTTGCTCGCATCACGGCCAGCTCCCAGAGGTCATGCGGTTCCCGCATGCTGCACAAACCGGGTCATGCAGCTTGATGGATGCACCTTATCAGGGAGCTTCCGCCTCACCCCTTCCCACTCAACTCTCCTTTGAGCTTTAAAGTCAGATCTCCACTGTGGTATTTCAAAGCACTGGACAAAAGCATGGGGATGTCCTGGGGAAGAGGGTGGCCTTCCCGGGGCCTGGAGTTCAGTCCACCCCCAGGACCTGGCGGGGAGGAGAGCTGTCACCTGCAGAGCCAGCTTCACTCTCTTGGTGACTGCATTCTCCGGGAACGTTGCCTGTACCAGGGGCACCAGCTTGCTCTTCAGGGAGCCCCCTTCGGGACCGATGGTGTCGTAGTCCTGGCAGAGCCGCGACATGATCACAAAGTACAGCGGGAAGTCAGTGGTGATGATTCGGCACACCCTCTTCTTCTCCAGCTCCTCCAGGCTCCCCAGCTCTGGAATCACACACACAGGCCACCACCCCGGTCACATCAGGCACAGATTCAGGCCTTCCAGGGGCCCCAGAGCCTCCTTGTCCCCAAGACCCAGTGCACACACCCTCTCCAGGTGCCGGGCGGCATAGTGGCCAGAAGAAGTGCCCAGGCCCAGAGGCCCAGCAGAGCAGATGCGGCTGCAGGCAGCAGCTGAGCATCCCCTCACACATCCTGGGGACCCAGGGCTTGTCCACACCAGGCCATTTCCAGCCTCTTGGGGATTCCCAAACTCCAGGTGGCCCTGAAAGACCACCTTTAAGGTGCAACTCAAACCCCTCTTCCGCAAGGAGGGGACCCAGCCCTGGGATTCCCCCTACTACCTTCGTCCATCCCGTTGAGGATCTGATCCAGGTAGCTCTCTCCATAGCGGCTCCTGTGCTCCTTCCACACGGAGCCGTTTTCACTCCTCAGAACCACGAGCTCCCGGTCTCCACGGCCATGGGAGGCAAAGTGCGGGATCTCCACGATTACAGGGCTGAGGCAAGGACACCGTGGTGGTGGGGAGGTGCTCACACAGGGCAGGCAGGGCACAGGGAGGGATGGGGCTGCCGGCTCCCACCCAGATGGAGAAGGCGCTTCCACAGCCACGTGGAGGCCCTACCTGCAGGCAGGTCTCTAAGTGGACCAGACCCGTGGGGGGTCCCCCGGGCTTCCCACAGCCCTGCTTGCTCCCCACCAGGCTTGCAGTAACAGTGAGGGCAGGGCCAGTCTCATTTCATGGGGGCTCTGCTCCCACGACCTAAGGATCCTGTCCTTGCACCTGATTCTAAAAATCCATCTGACATCCCTACACGGGTAACCTCATCTATCAACTGGTCATAATGACATTTCCTTCGGAGGGACGCTTTGAGGACAAAGAAAGGTCAATGAGAAAACTTGCTGCTTTGCAAATTGTGGTGACCGCTCTGAGCGGGGCCAGGAGGGTGGACAGAGGTAGAAGGCAAGGCCTCCTGGTCAGCCCTGTCCCCACATCACACCCATGGTGCCTGAAGGGTAGCAAAGCTCCAGGAGGAGCCCAGGCTGCTTCAGGGAGGTGGGCCATAGGCCTCTGGAGCTGCGTACTTCGCTCGTCCGCAGGGGAAACAGCCAGGGAGGCTGTCTTCCTGGGGACTCTCAGTGCATAAATGGTCAGACCCTCAGGGCCTCAGATTGGCCTTGTCTCTAGTGTCACGCAATATTTAAGAGTTGTTTTTTTGGTTTTGTTTTTTTTTTTTTTACAATGACGGGGTCTTGCTATGTTTTCCAGGCTGGTCTCGAACTCCTGGCCTCAAGCGACGCTCTCACCTCAGCCTCCCAAAGCATTGGAATTACAGGCGTGAGCTATCATGCCTGATCTGAGATCTGAGAGTTGTAAGCCCTCTCAGGGCTATGGATGCCTTCGTGTGTTAAGAAAAGTCAGGGAAAGGGGAGGGGCACCCAGTTCTGTTTCCCCGTCGGGACAGTGGAGATGGCGTGGCCTCCGTGGCACAGGGACAGGTGAGGACATGGGCTGCCTGTGCATGCTCACCTCAGGAACTGTGCCCCTGTGGGCCCCAGCGCGATGATCCTGCTGGCCAGGCCCTCCTCCTCGGCCAGTGGGGGTGGCGTGCTGAGCTTCTGGGGCTTGACCAGGCGGCAGGTGATGCGGGTGGGCGCTGCGCATGTCCGTGGTGGGATCACCACTCGCAGGCCGTTGTGGCGACTTCCTCTCATGGAACCACCCCGGGCGTCGACCATGAAGCTCACCAGAAACCTAGGAGTGGGGCAGATGCACGCTGGGCTTCTGCATCCCCTCTGGGAGATGGAGACAGGAGTCCCCGAGCCCTGCACCCGCCACTCACCCTGTGTGCACCGGGCTGGCCACCGGGCTGATGTTGTCTGAGGTCTCGGTGGCCGGACTGCTGGGGATAAGGGAGTCCTCATCATACTCTTTAGATGCCTGAGGACAGAGAAAAGGTCCTCCTGTTCCACTTCCTCCCTGGCCAGCTGGATGCCGTACCAGGGCATGGAGGCTTGGAAGAGCCTTGCTGCTAGAAACCAGGTGCATGTGGAGAAAGTGCTCCCACAGGACCCCACCGCCCTATCAGACAAGGCTGTCCTGGAGTCTAAAAGGAGACAGGAGCTTCCTCCCACCTCCATGCCTCTCCTGGGCTCAAGACCCTGGGACACAGCCTTGGAATGGATGGAGCCAGTCCTCACCATTCAGTCTGACTCCTGGCCCCCAGGCCCACCGCACCTGCTGCAGACCTGCCCCCTTCTTTCCAGCTGTGCCCACGGGGAGCCCTGCCCTCGGCAGGCCAACTTCCTCTAGGACGGGCACTGCATCCCAGCACCATGACCACCTCACCACTTAGCTGTGGGTGGGCTACCTGCCCTGTGGACATCTGGAGTCCATGAGGTGAACACAACAGATTCCCGCCCTTGTGGGGCTTCCTGCTTCCTCACCTGTATAGCGGGGACTTGCCTTAGGGTAACATTGCAACTACAGGGATGCCAGCCTGCCCTGGCACAGCCAGCAGGACCTGAGCCCAGCCTTGGTGCTCTCTAGATCTTCACGTCTGCTTTTCCCCCAGTCCAGAACATCCTTGTCCCTCACCCTTGTTGATCTAATCCTCTCCACTCCCCACATCTCACCTCCTCCACAGATACTCCCGGCCACCCTGGGGCTGGTTAGGGCCTCCCTGCTCTGCACTCTGCCAGCACTCACACCACACAGTGGAGCACTCCCCTGCTCTCCCTCCCGGTTCTGTGCTAACTGGGTTCACGCGTACGAGTCCACTCTTTCCGGTTGGGCCCTGGCTCCCAGGAGGCAGGTGTCCAGCCCTCCTGCCTGAGCCTGTCCAGGGCGCACAGCAGGAATCCAGTAAACATCTGCTGGCTGGAATTCCTACCCTAGGCCAAGAGTTGAAGACAGTGGGCTGGTCAAGGACCCGCAGGTTTCTCACTGCTGCTGTCCTGGGCTGCATCCAAGGACTGAGCCACCACAGGATAGGGCCCCAACTGACCATCTCTCCCAGACGCGGCCCACCCAATGCCGCCGATGTTGCACCATTATGAGGCGTCCAAGCGTGGAATGCCAGTTGGACAGTGAGTGGCATGTGAGCTATCAGTGTCTATTGTGCTATGTACAGGCCACCCCTCAACAATCACTGTCCCGGGGTACTCATGCTCTCCACGTGGGGAAACCACAGACAAGCAGCTTCTTACCTGCTCCTGCTCTTCTGACCTGATCACCACCGTCTCAGGTGTGACACAGGGAATCCTGGGGATGGCTGGAGATTCCACCCTGCGTGCCAAGAACGCCAGAACATCACAGGGCTGATCCACATGTGCACACAGCTTCCTCTTCCTCTTGCCTCCAAGTCTCTCCCTCCCGCTTTCCACTCTGGAGCCTGACTGCCCTTCACAACCTGGTGGAAGGACTGCCTCCTCCTCCATGAAGTCCTCCCCAATGACTCCAACCTGCACTCGCCACCCCTTTCTCCTCCTTTAGAACCTGTTGACAGAATCCTTGCTCTGGCTAACAATATATCTTTCTGTGTTGCTATATGACCACTTGGTGTGCATTTCAATCCCACCAAATGAATCGTAAGTTGCTTATGGTCAGGGTTACAGCTCTGTATTTCTTTCTAACAGATGTCTAGCAAATTCAAGTGGAGCAAATGGCACCGTGGTTTCACTCCCCGCTTGTTCAGGGACATTTCCGTCTTTTCAGAAAACACCTAGGGCTTAGTGTTTCTACAAAGTCGTTGATATTAGATTGCTTTGCAAAATGTCCCTGTGTACACTGTGCCCACGGTGAGATAACTCACAGCAGTCACGGGGGAAATGAGAGATGTGGTCCAGGCAGACCCGAATCTCCCCTGGCTTGTACCGAACATACCTCAGGGGCAGAGGGATGCAGTCAGAGTTCGAGCTTAGCCTGGCAATAGTTTCTAATGTGAACCTTCCTCAACTTTTTTTTTTTTTTTTTTTTTTTTTTGAGATGGAGTTTCACTCTTATTGCCCAGGCTGGAGTACAGTGGCACAATCTTGGCTCACTGCAACCTCCACCTCCCGGGTTCAAGCAGTTCTCCTGCCTCAGCCTCCCAAGTAGCTGGGACTATAGATGCACACCGCCACATTCAGCTATTTTTCTGTATTTTTAGTAGAGACAGGGTTTCACCATGTTGGTCAGGTTGGTCATGAACTCCGGACCTCAGGTGATCCTCCTGCCTCAGTCTCCCAAAGTGCTGGGATTACAGGTGTGAGCTACCGCGCCCGGCCATGTTCCTCAACTTTTGGATGAGAAGTTGAGTGTGCATAAGATGGAGAGGGGGTGTGGATATAAGGCTGTGAATGAGGGGAGCCTGGGAGAGGAGGGGACACTGGAAGAGGAGCAGAGAGGCATCCAGGCAGCATGGTGTGAGGAAGGCCTCCTCCTGCCCTGGTGGCTCAGGTGCACAGCTAGTGCATCCTAAGGTGCAAACCGTCTCTCTCTGCGGGCAGCATGCCCAGCACCTGGCCTGCTGTGCTCTTCCTCCCTCTGGAATCCCTGCTCTGAGCCACAGGGCTACACCTCAGCATCCTCCTAGGGACCCTCCCAGGAGCGCTGCTCACACTTGGTCTAGCTTTGGCACAAAATCCAGGAGCTCCTTCTCTTCATCGACATCCCTGGAATCCGGCCTCTCAGGCTTGGAGCCGATGAGTTCTTCCCCTGAAACAGCAAGAGCTCAAGTGAGCGACAAGGTAGAGGGAGAAGAGTCCCTCTTACTTTTTAAAAAGCTCTGTTCCCACTCCGCCTCTCAGGGCTTGCTCCTGAGGAGTGGGGAAGGCCTTGATGCTGCAAGGAGACCGGGAGCAATGTCTTTGCCCAGTCCTGGTCCTCCAGCTCTGGGACAGAGAGCAGGGCAGCCAGCTCCTGACATCTTAGATGCCTGAGGCTTTGCAGGAAGCCAAAGACACAGCCAGAAAGAACTTTCTTCGCTTAGTTCCAATTCAAAACAGCCCTTTTAGGGTGCAATGACACCAAAGAAGGAACTGCTACTGCTCTTTTCCACTCCACACCAACAGAAGAACAAATTACAGTGGAACTGGACCCACTCATTTCAAAGGGTTGGAGAATTTTCTGTAACCGTGGCAGCCAAAACCTCATTACTTCCAAAACCCATCACAAAGAGGTTCAAACTACGGGTCAATCAGCTGCCTGCACCTCTGACTGCCCCTTTGTTTCTCTCTCCTAGTTTGAACTGGAGCTGGAGCCCCGGCCCTCAACCTTGAGGGGTCATTCAATGCCACCCAGCAGTGAGCACCATGGCTTGTGATCTGGAGCTAACAGGATGGAAGAACAACAGCTCATGCAGTTATGATCACAAACATGGTGGCATGGGCACAGACACAGAGATGGACAGGCAGGAGCTGCCTGCCGGGCATGGGTCTCATGGGTGTGAATTCCTTAGTTTAGTTGAGCTCCTGGCTCCAGGTTATTCGCTGTCAGAGGAAGATGGAAAGCAGGAATGGATTAGTGAGCATCTGGGTTGCTTAGGGTGAAATGCACTCTAGTGAGAAAAGACCACAGGAAACAGAAAGCGTTTCATACCCATTATAGTTATATGAGCAGTTCCTGGAAAGCAAAGGAGAGCAGAGTTGAAAGAAGGACCACATTGAAGGCAGTTAAAGCGAGAGACATATATTATCCAAAGGAGCACCAGACAGCTCTGCTTCTCTAGTTGACAAAGTTATACAACCATGGAATAACCCAGATGGAAAGGACTACCGAGCTGATCCAGCCCACCCCACTATTCAACATCCCCAGAGTTGAGGATCTTACTGCTCAATATCCCCATCTAATTAGTGATGAAATAAGGTTTGTTGGGGGTAGGAAAATACTGGAAGCATTCTGTAGTTCATACAAGCTGAGACTATAGTAATTTCTTTCTTTTTCTTTTAGAGACAGGGTCTGGCTCTGTCACCCAGGCTGGAGTGCAGTGGGGTGATTACAGCTCACTGCAGCCTCAAGCTCCTGGACTCAAGCAATCCTCCCACCTCAGCCTCCAGAGAAGCTGGGACTATAAATGTGCACCACCACACCCCACTAATTTTTAGTTCCAATTTTTTTTTGTAGAGACGGGGGTCTCCCTTTATTGCCCAAGGCTGGTCTTGAACTCCTAGCCTCAAGCAATCCTCCAACCTTGGCTGCCCAAAATTCTGGGATTGCAGGCATGAACCCAGGCACCCAGCCAGACTATAGTAATTTCATAATCACAGAAATAACCCAAAACCTACTGACCCGCTATGTGGTTGAAGTGCAGCTTAAAAGGCATTCTCACAGATTTTGAATAATCCACTTAGTATTCATTCAAAGCATAAAGAAAGAACCAGACAGAATTTTATTACAGTTCCTCATGGGCTGAGAGTTGGTCTGAGTAGAACCATGCTCCAATTTGATAACACATCCATAATCTATGCAAACACACATGTGTTTTTGAAACTTCACAGAATTTTAAATTTAGTCAATGTTCCTTCACCTAAGATTGTATTAATAGAGTAGTATTTTTGATAATAGACAACAGCTATAAAAAGCAGGTCTCCCCACTTTCAGTGTCCATCTACAGCTCTTGGGCGTGTTGTAAGGGGGCAAAGCCGGCAGGTGGCAGGAAGCCCCCTTGGAGGGTGCCCAGAGCCCCTCTGTCCCCACCAGCCTGAGCTCATTACCCCAACTTTACCTTCATCTTCCGAGACATCCAGGATCTCATCAACTGTCTCAGGGAAACTCATCCGATGCTTATCACTGACTAACTAAAATGAGAAAAAGCAGATAATTCAACCCAAACTAGAGCCGCACACATTTTTTACCAGCCCAGCGGTTCCCTGGTCACGCCTGTGGGGTGTGCCCCAAACGCAGAAAAACGGACGGAGGAGGTGCTCAGCCTAGAAGCTGCCGGGCAGGAACCACTGAGATGGGACCCGGGAAAACTGGCTTCCCATCTCCCCAAACCCCATCCACTCCACTGCTGCTCGGAATGCTGGTCCTGCCCCGAGTCCTCACGCCGCTAGGTGGCAGCACAGCCCCGCTGGAAGGAGGACAAGTTCCCACCCGTTGGGCGCTGCGCCTCCGACCGGCGTCCTGGAGCCCCAGAACGCACCCCACTTCCAGAGTAACCCCGGGCACGCCTCTGCGCCAGGCTGAGTATGTCCGGGGTGGGTGCGGGGGAGAGGCAGACATACCACGAAACTGGTTTCATCCGTGACGACCTTGAGCACGTCGGTGACAGAAATGTAGCCCAAGCGCTTGGCTATGGCCAGAGGTGTGGTTCCATCCTGGGAAAAGAGCAGCCCGGGTGCAGTCAGAGGATGGAGTCTAGCAGGTGGGGCTGGCCCCTTAGACACAGATCGAGTTCACCTTCTAGTTGTTCAGGAGAACCTGAGTGGACAGATGTCACCGTGGGGCCCAGAACGAGATCCCTGCACGTGTGTGTGCCTAGATGTGTGTTAGCAGCAACACCCAGAGATGGGTGTGGGAGGAGGGAGGGCAGGGGTGCTTTTGATCTGCAGTGTCAAGTGTGGGGCCTTGCAACCCAGCAGGGGAAATCTCCCAAGGAGAAGTCAGGCTCTGCCAAGTGGGTGCCCACCGGGAAGGAGGTCAGGAAGTTAGCAGATGCAGTTTTAGGAAGATGAGGACAGAGGGAGGCTGCTTGCTGCTCCCAAAGTCTGTTCTTGGGTGTCAGTGATGGGGTATTAAAGTAGTTGAATTAATCCATATACTTCAATGAACTCTAATCAGAATACTCATAAATCACAAATCACCAGAAACACAGCAAGGGCATACTTTCTACTTTGATTCCAAGAGAAAGAGCTACGTGATCATAAATGGATACTGAGGCTTGATTTTTCTTTTGACCTCTCTACTTCTAGGATGTGCCTTGGGCTCTGTTCAGATTCAAGCCCAGCTGCAGCTGCAATTTCTGCAACCCCATCTACAATCAAGGATCCACTTTTGTGTGTGTGTGTGAGACAGAGTCTCACTCTGTCGCCCAGGCTGGCGTGCAGTGGTGCAATCTAGGCTCACTGTAACTTCTGCCTCCTGGACTCAAGTGGTTCTTGTGCCTCAGCTTCCCGAGTAGCTGGGACTACAGGTGCCTGTCACCTCACTCGGCTAATTTTTTTTAAATATTTTTAGTAGAGACACTCGCCCTGGAGTGTTGGCCAGGCTGGTCTCTAACTCCTGACCTCAAGTGATCCACCTGCCTTGGCCTCCCAAAGTGCTGGGATTACAGGTGTAAGCCACTGCACCCAGCCAAGGGGGTCCACATTATTTCAGAGATAGAAGCAAACATGGAGATAATTTCATAGAACCTCCGCATGGTCAGATGAGAAAGCTCATAGTGAACAATGATTGCTGATGTCACTAAAGATAACCTCGAGCCCTGAAAGATCAGGAACCACCCAGGACATTGAACTATGTTCACTTGCACCATATTGAAAACAGTTTCACATATTTTAGAATGGGTTTCAACAAATATTTATATATATGGTATATATGTGTGTATGTGCATATATATGTATATGTCTCTGTGTGTGTGTGTGTGTGTGTGTGTCTTCATATATATAAAAAGACACAAGGTCTTGTTCTGTCTTCCAGGCTGGCTTTCAAGTGGGCAACTGGAAAATGGACACTGAACTGCAGTGGCGCAATCACAACTCCCTGCAGCCTCGACTTCCTGGACTCAGGCTGTCCTCCCACTTCAGCCTCCCAGTTAGCTGGGACTACAGCTAATATGTGTCACCACATCCACATAATTAAAAAAATTATTTTGTAGATTCAGGCACTCACTGTGTTGCCCAGACTGGTCCTGAACTCCTGCCCTCAAGCAATCCTCCCTCCTTAGCCTCCCAAAGTGCTGTGATTACAGGCGTGAGCCACTGCACTCGCACTCAAGAAGGATATTTTAATAAACATAAAAGAGGAGGGAAAATGGTGCTTAAAAGGAAAACAATCAATTCACCAGAAAGAGGAACTGATCACAGTGCCCCATCCCCAGGGTATCCAAGGTAGCTATGGCTTTAGGGTCTTGCGGCCCCGTCCAGGCCCCAGACATGTGCATTAACCTCTATGGTTAGGGGAGGTCACCCAGGGCTGCTGCCACGGGGAGCAGTTTTCTAAACTCAGGAGAGAGAGTGTACTCACCGAGCTGACCTCGTTTGGGGAAGCACCGTTTTTCAGAAGCAGAGTCACGACGTCTGTGTGTCCCTGCTGGGCTGCCTGGTGCAGGGGGCTGTATCCTAGCTGCAAAGCAAGCAGACATTTTGGCAGGGTTAGCCAACCATTAGACAGAGACCTGCCTACACATGATAGTGCCTGTCCCATCTTCGAAGTGGGACATTAATAAAATGCATTTTCCCCCTTTCTTCCTTCAGTGTCCACGGTCAACTGTGGTGGAACCCCTAGTGGCCCAGAGCAGCAGCTCTGGCTGCACCCTGATGTGGCATGGAGAAGGGTCAGCGCAGGAGTCGGGGCTAGGGCATCCCTGTACCTTGGTCTTGGCGTTTACATCTGCCTGGTGCTGCAGCAGAAACTTCACCAGCTTGATGTTTCCGTAGTGACTGGCCACATGGAGGGGAGTGTAGCCCATCTGAAAAGCAGATGAGAAGGAGTGACCAGAGCTCTCCTGAGCTGGGCATCACATGAAATCCTTCCCAAAGCAGCCGATTCAAAGAAAAAATGGACAGGGAGCCCCTTGAAGGCTGACACTGACAAGCTGAATGGCTGCTGCTGGGCAGAGACCACCAGGCTGAGATGCTTGTGGGAGACCCAAGGGGAGACGTCAACCTGGCAACTGGAAAATGGACACCGAACCGCAAGAAGAGGGCTATGCTGGGGTCGTCAGTGCATGGGAGATCTGAAAGCTTTGGAGGTGAGTGAGGTCCCCCAGGATAAAGTGGAGGGTGAAAAGTGGGGCTGAGGGAGTGAGGCCAAGGCAGAAGAGAAAGAGAGGGAAACCTGGAGAGAGCAGCGTCACAGAATCCCAGGGGGCTATTTCAAGAGGAAGAGATAGCCTTCAGGCCTGGGAATGGCGCTGAGATGAGGGCAGATGGGGATGTGAGGTCATGTTCACTCCAATGACAACAGGCTTATTTCCATTAGAAAGCTGAAATCCCATTGAAAAACCCCCAAAAGGCTGTCCAAGTGACTTAGTTGTGGCGTGATGGAATTTACGGGAACTGATCATTGCTTATTGAAATGCATGGGCTTGGGACATTTGCTCATGTGAGTCTGGGCTGTTCAAGGAGTCTGTCCTGCTGAATTTTGTGGTAATGCTTCCTGTGGGCAGGCAGGCCAAGGCCCTCTGAGCTCCTTGGTCCCAAGTGTCCCGGGAAGCTGGTGCCAGATTCCAGAGACCACCCAAGCGCAGGTTCTTCCCATAATGGGGTGACTTTGGGATCCTCAAGGACATTCTAACCCACAGGACAGGGTCTTTTGGTGCAGGACCCCAAAAGACTAAACAGGGCCTGCAAGTGAAGCCTCAAAGATCCAGAACATTCTTAGATTTTAAGCAGGTTCCTGTGGAAGCTGCAGGCAGTTGGAGACAAAACAGTTTCCAGACTTTTCTCAGGGTGACTTCAGCATAACATTGTTGCTGGCATTTCTGTGCTACTCTGGAGGGGGCAGGAGTTCCTGGTCCTGTCACTGTCCCTTCCTTTTAATATGGTTCCCTTGTGGGGAAAAGAAACAAAATGTGGCTTCTTCCATGAAGCCCGCCTCCTCGCACCGACTAAAAACACCATCTCTGCCCTCTGTGCTCCCAGCTCCTCTCTTAAGAGTAAATATCAGATCACGCTCTTCCTTCCTGTCCCTAGCGATCACCTCCACACCAAACTGCAGACGCCTTGATGCCAGATTCCATTCACACAGCTCCTTGCACACATCAGAGGTTCAGAGAAAGTTGAACTGAATTTAACCAAGTGCTGGAAGAAAAGGAGCTAAGCTTTTGTGTGAATCTGGGGAAACTTGACATTTTGACATGCTGACTACTCGTATTAGACAGGTCTTAGAGTCATGATTAAACATTCGTCCCACTTTCTCTCTGCAGAGGCTCAAAGGTCTAGCAAACTTTAAAAATCCCCCATGGGAAAGTGAGATAATTAGGAGTAGCGTTTTCAAACTCCACTGCCCGCTCTAGGAAGTGGCAGGGAAGAATGTTCCACTGGGTCTTCGGGGTTTCAAAGCCCCGTGGAAGATTCAGTTCTGAAGTGTGAGCAAGCAGTCCACACAGACTGAAGTTCCAGCTGCCTGCCTTACCCGGGTGGTGGCATCCACCATGACGCCGTGTTTGATCAGCATGTCTGCCACTGGAACGTGGCCTTCCTGTGCTACCAGATGGAGAGGAGTGAGTCCACTCTGCAAAGAAAAAGATGTTCATTACCTTCTAGCAAGTAAAGAATTCCAGGCCACAAGGAAAGAGCTCTGAGGTCTGGGAGCTGAAGCTGACTTTGCAGTCACCAACTAGTTATTTGGCTCCAGGCAAAGCTCTTCTTGTTCTGGGCCCCAATGTCCTTATCTAAAAAGTAAGGTGGTTACACTAGACCAGGGGTTGGCAACTTTTTCTGTTAAGGGCCAGATGATCAATATTTTTGGCCATGCCTCTGTATGACTAACATTTAAATGAATGGGCATGGCTGTGTTCCAATAAAACTTTATTTACACAAACCAGTGGTGGACCAGATTTGGCCCACGGGCCCGTAGTTTCCTGACTTCTGATCTAGATGAACTTTATGGCACTTTCCCAGTGTTGGTGCTTTATGGACTTCCCAATAAAGAATGCCCTATTTCCATGGTGAATTTCAGAGCCCTGTAGCCTTGGTTTCCTAATCTAGACAAGAGGGGTTATCATGGATCCATCTCAGGGGCAAGGTGAGGAGTGCTGGAGAAAGCACAGGTGAAGCACATTGAGAGGCACACAGTGCTGTTTAAATGAAGCACACTGGCTGGGTACGGCAGCACATGCCTGTCATCCCAGCACTTTTGAAGGCCAAGGTGGGTGGATCACCTGAGGTCAGGAGTTCGAGACCAGCCTGGCCAACATGGTTAGACCCCCATCTTTACTAAAAATACAAAAATAAGCAGGACATGGTGGCTCATGCCTGTAATCCCAGCTGTTTGGGTGGCTGAGGCAGGAGAATCACTTGAACCTGGGAGGCAGAGGTTGCAGTGAGCCGAGATCGCACCACTGCACTCCAGACTGGGTGACAGAGCAACACTCCATCTTAAATAAATAAATAAATAAGTAAAGTACCATACTGTTATCACTGCGCAGCCAGTGCTGGCATGGTCAAGAGGGCAAAGCATCCCACCAGGAGTGAACGGACCATATTCTTGCACGTGGCATCACAGCTTCCTCAGGAAGGCAGTAAGGTATCAGAGATGTTGTTTGACGTGTGGGCACCCACAGGAAAATGTCAGAAAAGTCTTCTCTCCCCTGGACTTTGCCTCAATACCCTTTGCTAACGTGGGACCAACAAAGCTGGATTTCTCTGTAGGCACAGACCATGTCCCCTCTACGGGACTCCACTTGCCCTCCTCTGCCTTCTGCACATCCCACAGGCTGACCAGAGGCTTGTGGGTAGTCATGACACCCCACCACATGCCACTGTGGCCAGAACTGGCGGGCCTGTCCTGCAGGCAGACCGGGGATGGCTCAAATGAGAACAGTCCTCAGTTGAGGAGTGACTGTCAGCCTCTCAGGCAGGCGCTCTGCCTCATTCTTGAGCTAACACCAATAATCTGCCTCGTGAGGGCGGCGTGTGGATGACAGAGTGGGTTACCAGTCACCTTACTGTGTCCTGTCAAAGCTCCCATTAAGTGGGGCAGTGAAGGAACCCAGAATGCCATGAGATATAATGAATATAATGGTCCTACCAGAACGGTTCCCTCATTGGGGGTCAACTGTTCAAATTTGTACAAAATGTGCCAGATTTTGTACAAAATCTACAGGTTTTTAAGAAATCTTAAGTTGCCCTGAAAATGCTTGCCTTTCTGAGTATTTGCTATGTGAATATATCATCGAAGAAGTGGTTGTTCACATTGCGTGGTTCCACTTATATGAAATGTCCAGAACAGACAAATTCCTAGAGACTGAAAGATTGGCGGTTGCGAGGGACCGGGGGCTCTGGGGGAAGCGGGAAGTGACTGCTAACAGGTACGGGGTTCCCTTTGCGGGTGATGCAAGTGTTCTAGAGTTAGATCATAGGCTGCTGAATTCTGTAAAAATACTAAAAAACATTGAATTGTAGCGTTTGAAAGGGTGCCTTCTAGGTGAATTATATTTCGATAAAACTGTTATTTAAAAAAGAAGTGATTTTTAGTCTTTTTTTGGGTCACACATTCCTTTGAGAAGCTGAGAAACACTGAACACTTCACCCAGAAAACTGCTCACACACCCTTCCTCCCCAGATGTGTGCGCAGTTTTAGAAGGCTTTATCCTCACATACCTATTGTCGCTGGAGTAAGAACTCCTAGTGTATAGGTCAGTAGTTTTAAAACATCTTTCCCCACAGAACATAGAATATTTAGTCCCAAATGATAGAATGTACTTCTGAAGGTAGGCACCGGCCTATATTTGGGAAAGTGTATTATGGATTTTAATATTGATCTTTCTGCAGATCCTTAAGTCAATCTGTTTAGAAAGATCAGCAAAGGCTTTGGCATCAGAAAGGCTCAGAATCCTGCCATCTTGGGAATAAGCAACCTTTCTGTTTATTCATTTATAAAATGAAGGTGAAATGTACACAGGGCTGTTCCAAGGTTTACACACACACAGCCCTAACTCAGAACCTGGGCACACATAGATACTTAATATGCAGACACCACACGTTGTTAGCCAGCACTCAGGGCAGATCCAAAGACGTCATGTCTACCTTGTTCCCCAGGTTGCCATTGGCTTGTTTCGAGAGCAGCAGAGCCACCATCTCTGCGTGGCCCTCCTGGGCGGCCAGGTGAAGGGGCGTCACACCTTGCACCGACTCGGCATTTGCTGAGCCCCCATACTGCAGCAGACTGCGGGCCACGTCCACCTGGTTCTGCTTGGCAGCGATGTGCAAAGGGGTGTAGCCATTCTGAAACAGAAGAAGCCACCCAGGGCCTGGTTACAGGAATGCTGAGCTGACAATATCAACACATGAGCAGGGGCTGAGTCTGGTTCTTGGCCGGCTGGACACCCAATGAGCAGGGCTGGCGTCACCCAGGAGCAATTTAGATAAACAAACAAACAAACAAACAAAACCCATTTGATTTAGAGCCAGCGCCTCAGGCTTGCAGAGCCTCTGTATGTCCACCTTTTTTCACCATGTGTTTTCTGTTATGCTCTGACAAACTGCTGGACAGGAAGAGAACAACTGGAAGGCCAGGTAAGGAAATGAAAGGTTCTCATTTCTTCCTTCCTGCAATAAGAGCCAAAACCCCCAAATATTTCATAAAGAAGAAGAAACAACAGCCCCTTTTTTTCCCAGTGCAGCTGGGCCAAGTGCTGCCCTCTGGGCCTTGCCGGCATTAGGCAGGGTGGTTTAAGGGACATGCACCTGGCAAGGGACTTGAGGATGTGGGACAGTCCTCACTCCACTGTTAACTATCTGTGTGACCCAGGGCAAGATATTCCATGACCTAGACTTCCTTCTGTATCTTTTAAGTCATTAAAAGTGGATAATAGCGTCTATCTTTTTAATTTCTCAAAGTTGTTAGGTAGACCAAACATGATACTGTATGTGAAGGTATGTTCCAAAATTAAGATATAAAAAGTTGGCAGGGCACAGTGGCTCATGCCTGTATTCCCAACAATTTGGGAGGCTGAGGTGTGAGGATCACTTGAGGCCAGGAGTTTGAGACCAGCCTGGGCAACATAGCTAGACCCTATCTCTACAAAAAAATTAAAAAATTAACTGGGCATGGTGATGCATGCCTGTAGCTACTCAGGAGGCTGAGGTGGGAGGATGGCTTGAGCTAAGGAGTTGGAGGTTGCAGTGAGCTCTGATCGTACCACTGCACTATGGCCTGCAGTAGAGTAAGACCTTGTCTCTACACATGAAAGTTTTAAAAAGTAATGCACCTGTGTGTCATGGTTTTGTAGTGCACTGGTTTGCAAGACATTATAATTGCATAATGAGATGAAGGAGCTTGCCTCAAAAGTAAATCAATGATGTCACTGTGCACTGTTTATTCAGCCAATTTTTGTTTTTATTATTATCATTGATAGCAAGACTGTCTTAATGAAGGAAGCAGTGCATGGGTTTACACTCTGGAGCACACTCCTTATCTCCCTGCAGGCAAGAGACGGTTCCCAGGTGGGCGCCTTTGCTCATCACTGCCAAAAACCACTTTTACCTGCGTTATCTTTTTTGTGCTTCATTAAAACCACATAAGGTCACTAGGGCAGGCATTTTTATTATTATCACATCGTGTGGAGAAAGAGGCCAATTCTCTGTGAGGTTAAGCGCCTTATCTAATGTCACATAGTAAGCAGAACAACAGATAACCCAGCCCTGACCTTCTGATTGTACAGCCCAGGTAATTCCACCTAGAACAGTGGTTCTCAAACTCTGATGTGTACACAATCCCTTGGGACCTTGTTAAAATGCAGTGTCTGATTCAGAGGCACTAGGGGGGGCCCAAGATTGTGCATTTCTAGCAAGCTCCCAGGTGATGCTGACAATGCTGGTCCAGGGACCACACTTTCAGTAGCAAGGCCCTAGGGCACTCAGGGTTAAGGGCAATGCCAGGCTGGAGGACGTCCTGGACATGTGCCCACCCAGGCCCATAGCAGATGGCTGCCCAATGTGGGATCTGTCTCAGGGCACGAGATTTCCCCACCTCGGCCAGCATTCCTCTGGCTGAGGACTGAGTTCTCCCTGCCAGCCACTCTCTTACTGTGGAAACTAACATTTCTGATTCTGCCAGGATCACTGGTCAGGAAGAGGAAAGGGAAAGAAAGGTGCCGGCCAAGGCCGTCAAAGCCCTAGGTACAGAGAAAGCTCAGCAAAGTGGGCCCATAGGCGGCTTTTGTGGTGAAATGAAAAGTTGTGACTTACCCAAGGAATTGAATTAAATTGAAAAATCATTCTTTTTGAAGAATGACGAGTGATAATCCTTTCTAGTATTCTTCCTTTTTAATTTGATTATGTTATGAGAAAACATTAAATTGTTCTTTGTAGGTTGTGTTCATGTAACAAGATCGGCATTTGGATTATAATAAGTTTAATTAAACAGCATGATTTTTGCACTGTATTAAAAGAGAGCAAAGGAATGGGGTGCGATACCACAGATCCAGCCTGAGATGCAGGGTCGGCTCAAAATGGAGCTAAGCCTCCCCATAACGAGACACAGAGCACCAGTCAGCGCCGGCCCAGAGAAGCCTTTCACTATGGAAACGAAAAATTAAACCCTAAGCCCTCAAACAGACCTCAGTTGGGCCAAAGAGATCCCAGAAAAACCTTAAAAACTGAATTCCCAGCCATGAAGGAAGGGAGGTTGGACACGCCTTGCTATACCCACTCCCTTTCGGAGTTTAGGCACAACTGACCAACATTCATGTTAAAAGAGATCATAAGACTAACTAAAGGGACTCTTTGTGACAAGACACCAAATTATCAACAGGACCCAAGGCCACAATAGGCAAGGGCTGAGTCACACACCCCCTAGAGGTCACTCGGCCCAGGACACTGGTGAACAGACCCTTCTCTCAACTTAATTCTTTTCTGCTGATTCCAAACTTTTAGATAAAGCTTTACTCCTTTAACCAACTGCAAATTAAAGAATCTCTGAATCTGCCTATAACCTCTGGGCCCCTGTTTCTAGGTATTTTTGTCAATATATACCTTCCATGTATTGATTTATGTTTTTACCTATAACTCCTGCCTCCCTAAATGTATAAAACCAAACTGTAACCCGCCCCAGACACGCTTTCTCAGGACCTCTTGATACTGTGTTGCCCAGGGCCATGGTTATCACATCCGCTCAGAATAAACCTCAGAAATACTTTATGGAGTCTGGTTTTTCCATTAATAACTACATGAAAGCAATGATTATTAGGCTTTTTTTTTTTTTTTTTGAGACAGAGTGTCACTCTGTTGCCCAGTCTGGAGTGCAGTGGTGAGATCTTGGCTCACTGCAATCTCTGCCTCCCGGGTTCAAATGATTCTCCTGTCTCAGCCTCCCAAGTAGCTGAGATTAGAGGTGCATGCCGCCATGCCCAGCTAATTTTTGTATTTTTAGTAGAGGCGGGGTTTCACCATGTTGGCCAGGATGGTCTTGAACTCCTGACCTCAAGCGATCCGCCTGCCTCGGCCTCCCAAAGTGCTGGGATTACAGGCTTGGGCCACTGTTCCTGGCCCTATTAGGCCATCTTTCGATGTACAAAGGACCATCACTTGAGCAATCTGCAGTGTGTTCATGGATGTATCCTCAGGAATCCCAAGCTACCTGGGAAGCAGTGATGTCCACACTGGCAAGGCCAGCCCCCTGTCCTGCCCAAGAGTAGGCCTGCCCTGGACATGGCTCAGGCTGCCAGGTAAACCTCTGGTTAAAATTGAGATACAAGTGCCACTGTCACTCTCAGAACACGGAGTGTTCACAGAACAGAGCTTCCCCTAAACCAGGACTGAAAGGAACGAATGAACTTCTGCAGGTGACAAGGACAAGGACAACTAGGCTGGAAAGTCATGGAGAGGGGAGGGAGGAATGTGTGCCCGCAAAAGGCTCTTCTTTCCCAAGGAAATGAGCTCATCCTAAGGAATGCATACGGAGGGAGCTCTGCCCAAATGTTCAAACATTAGCATCAAAATTAGAAAGGGGAGGGTTTGGTTTGGGTGCAGAGAGATTTGCATGTGAAATTCTACAAAATTGCCAGACTACTTTGGAAACTATTTTTTGCCATGGAAACAAAGCCCATCTGTACAGGGTTTGTGCTTGGATTTAGTTCTTTTTAAATATAATGAACCTGGCTCCCTTTCCTTTTATATAAGTAGGGGAGTGAGGAGGAGGAAGGGAGTCCAGGTTTTTATTTTTAGAGGCAGGAGTAAGTCGACATCGCAGCAGGGCCGTGTGCTCCCTCTGCACAGCGACGTGGGGCTCGCTGCAGCAGTAGCGAGGACAGGAGGAGACAGAGCTGTCGGGAGCCGGCGTCTGCAGAAGAGCGATGCTGCAAGATGGGGACACGCGTCTGTCCAGGGAGGGAGAACGCGCCGCAACGACACTGAGGCTCCCCGCCTGGGCTGCGGCGGCCCTAAGCCAGCAGGTGTTGGCTGGAGTCATGCGGGGTCCCACCCTTAGGCTCCTTCTCTGTGGCATTTGGACACCTGCCACATGACGGATCGCCAGGGTTTGCTCTCCCATAGATTATCCTGTTTCCCGTGCGCCTGGCTGCCCCACAGAGTGCGGGGACTGTGTGTGGCTTTTGTCTTCCTGGCCCCGCTCCCTCTGCTCTCCCCTTCTCCCCGCTGGCCACCAGTCCCATGGCACCTACCCCTACACAGCCTTGTCTTCCCACAGCAGGCAGCCTGTTCCCAAAAATGATCCTTCCAGCTTCATCCTTGTACTACCCAATCCCGTGGGGTCTTCCAGAAGCTACCCATCTGCTCCCTCCTCTGATTCCCTCAAGAGTCACGGAACCTGCTGCTCTGAGCAGCTCGCCTCTGAAGCTGGTGTGAGGCCGGGCCAACGTGTCTCATATTTAGGTAAGCCTCTCTACAAAAATGCCACCATCGAAAAGTCTGATCTCAGAGAGAAATGAATTTGGAGGTGATCATTCTCATTTTAAAGAGGTCCCTTGCTTCCAGGTTCCAGCAAGCTCACCAGCAGCCCTGAGGATTTCTCAAAGTACGGTCGCTGTGGCCCCAGCCCCGGAACCACGCAGAGAGTAGGTTAAAAATGAGGCTTCCAGGCCACACTGCACAGTCCCACAGAGTCGGAATCTGCTAGAACCAGGCTCACCACTCCCCAGGGATTTTTATCCACACCGATCTCTGACAGTCAGTTTACAAAACCCAGCTGACGTGCAACTGCTTGGGGACACATTTGCTGTATAAAACAAGTTCTGCCTCTGCGAGGTAAGCCCTGGCTGGGAATTGTTACCCACTTCCCATCCCACTCCTGGACCCTGAATAGCACGATTACAGGACAGGTAACATGTGTGAAAGTGAGGCATGATTTCTGAGGTAAAAATAGCTACAGAACGCAAAACGCCTGGGCTGCTGCGGAAACCCCCCTCCCTGAGGGACTGGAAGGTAGCAGGTGACCTGCTCTCCGGGGGCAGCTGGGGAGAGGCGCCAGTCTTACCCAGGCGGGGCTGTGCGGGGAGCCACCCCGGGGAAGCAGCAGCTTGACGATGTCCAGGTTGTTGTGATGGACGGCCACGTGCAGGGGGGTCAGGCCATTCTGCAGAGGACAAAGACAAAAGAGACCAGATGTCACTCCCACGGACTTTCTCCCAGGGCTCCCTTTAGGCATGGCAGCACCTATTTTACACAGTAAAATCCTGTTTAAAATCCTTCCCAGGCCAGTCTTAACTTGGAGTCACGACAGAATGTCGGGACAGGACCCAGAGCCCTGTGGGAACCAGAGGGGACGTGGGCGGTGAGGTCAGCACATTCGCCCAGAGAAGGCCGTCGAGTCTTTCCAAACGGATAAGGCCGTTGACAGAAAGGCCAGTCTTTCCAAAGGGCGTTCTCTCTCGATGCTACCCATGGAAACATGAACAGGCCGGGTGCAGTGGCTCGCACCTGTAATCCCAGAGCTATGGGAGGCTGAAGAGGGAAGATCACCCGAGCCCAGGGTTTGAGACTAGCCTGGGCAACATAGTGAGACCCTGTCTCTATAATTTTTTTTTTTTTCAAGTTAGAGCCGGGCATGGTGGCACCTGCTTGTAGTCCCAGCTACTCAGGAGGCTGACACCCAAGGATGGTTTGAGCCCAGGAGTCGAAATTGTAGTGAGCCATAATGGCACCACTGCACTCCAGCCTGGGCAACAGAGAGAGACCCCATCTCAAAAAAAAAAAAAAAAGAAAAGAAAAGAAAAAAAAGGATGGACAACATAAGCAAGAGATGGAATCTGCAAGAGCTGAATTCCATCCTCTGTTCTTGCCTCTAACCTGAGAGCTGCAGGGGAGGGCGGGGTTCAAACTCACTTTTCCAGCAGCATTTGGGTGTGCGTCCCGCTCCAGCAGCAGCTCTGCCACCCGCACCTTCCCGTACTTGGCCGCCACGTGCAGAGGGGTAAATCCTTTCTGAGGAGAAACACAGGCCGTCAGGACATCGGGGCCCCAGGGCTGTCCTCTCTGAAGAAAGGGCAAAGGAGGCTGCCCCCTTCCGCTGGCATGGAGATGCCAATAAAAGCAAAGGCACAGCCATTTTTGAGCCCTCCAGGAGGCTGAAGACCTGAGGAGTGGGCAGGCATCCCTGCACTTGCTGTACACACTCCTCTGGCGAGAGGGTCTCGACCACCTCGCAGTGGTAGTTGATTGCTGGCTAGCTGAGGGCAGGGTATGAGTCTTAATCCTTCTCATATCCCCAGAACCCGTCTGTGACTTGCCCAAAGCAGGTTTCGACTAATAATTGTGCCATGATAAATGGACGAAGGCTGGCTGGGTGTGTGAGAAGCTGTGGTTGACCTCCCGTTTTGGGGAAGGATGGAGACACATCGGGCTTGCAGGTGGCAGGCAGCCCCGAGTGTGATGACCCTTCCAGTTGCTTGCAACATCACTGAGGTGACAAAGAGAACCAGGCACGAATTCCCCTCCAAGCCCCAGGCCTGGCTGAGTGAGCCTGTTGCTTCCTTAGACCGAGAGGAGGGAGGTTGTACCTTGGTCATGCAGGCCTGGGATGCTTCCTTTTCCAGAAGGGCCAGGACTGTTTCCACGTGGCCCTCACGAGCTGCGATGTGCAGGGGCGTGTGCCCAGCAGTGGTGGCCAGGTTGGGGTTGGCATTGTTTTCCAGCAGGAGCTTCACCATGTTTGTGTGGCCGATGCGAGCTGCACAGTGAAGTGGGGTCTGGTCATCCTGGACCCCGAAGCGAAAGCAAAGAAGAAGAAATGCTGATGTTACCAAATCCAACTTTTCATCTTACAGAGAAGCAAGGCAGGGCCCAGAGAGGGCAAGTGACCTTCTCAAGGTCACACAGCTAAGAAGATGAAGAGTCAGGGTTTGAATCAAATCTCTGAGTTACAGGAACCAATATGCTGTATCCTACTGAATCCTTACAACAGCTCTTCAAGTGAGCTGTTATTTCTACCTAATTTCCCAAAGACCCAGCCCTCCCATCTGTAAAATGGGAATAATAACGTCTACTTGCTAGGGCTCATCTGGGATCAAGCAGATAATGCACACGTTTCTGCGTTTGTGCATAAAAGGCACTCAATGCAGTGTGGTTGCTCATCCGTCTCCCACATCCTTTCTGAGAGGATGCGCTTGTCTTTCTGCTTGAACTCTACTTTGATTTTCTCTGTGCTGGGGTCAGGGGAGTCTCAACTGCTGACAGAGAATGAGGACTTTTCCATCCACACCCCCAGCTTCCTGTTTCTGAATGCTGCTGTCGAGCTGCCTGGGCCAGGTCTCATGGGGCCCAGCTGGAGGCATCCCTCGAGGGCCCCAAACACAAATCACAGGCCTGACTCTAAGGAGAACCCATCGTGGCCTGTGGTTAGGAAGCCTGCTGTTGGCCGAGCGAGCAACTGGCAAACTCCACAGCTCTTCTCACTGCCTACTCCTCCAACCCCTGCAAAATGTGCTTACAGCAAGGGGGAATCCTCCAGTTTTAGATCAAGTAATTCTTGCCTGATTTTCACTGGCAATGCTTTCTTCAAAAGGTTGCCCGCCTCCTTACACGGCAACTGTCGTCGTTAGCCCAGGACATACTCAGCCCAACCATGCACCTTGGACTTTCCTTATTTTAAAGAAATGTGGCTCTAATGCAAAAATATCCCTGGTCTTCTCAAACCCCCTGCAAAGCAGAGTCGGAGCACGCGGAGCGGCCTGATCGGGATGAAAAGCGATCCCCAGGCCACAGTACTGCAGCCCTGCCTGGAATGAGGATGGGTTCTCTGCACAGTGCTGGAACTGCTCATATCTGAAACCCTTCCCTTCCTGCCTTCACAACTCACCTTGGCCTTGGCGTTGACTTTGGCTTTGTTCTGGAGTAAATATTTGGCCACTTCCGTGTGCCCAGCTCTGGCTGCCATATGTAGCGGGGTCTCCACTTTCTATAAAATAACAAAATTGTAGAACTGTTCATACATGCCTGCTGTCCAAAACTGCACACACAGAGCTAGGAAGTGCAGCTTCGAGTGGCTTGGTGGGTTTTTGTCCAAGAGGTGGAGTTGCCCCAGCAGGCACTCTTTAGTCTGGTGTGTGTGCTTGTGTGCATGCGCATGTATGTATGTGTGTGTGTGTGTGCACGTGTGCAGGTGCAGGCATGTATGTGAGTGCATGTGTGCATCTGTATATTCTAGGTACACTTAAAAGTAAACCCCAGAGCTAATGAATATTCAAAAATGTAAATGTATTCCCAGTGAACACTTATAGACGTTCCAAAATTATTGTCCAAAACAAAACCTCCAAGGTTTACGGATGTGTGAGAAATTTCATCCAGAAAGCGTCAGTACACGGGGATGTCCTCCCCCAGTCTGAAGCATTGGCTATTCTGGGAATTGCAGCTCTGTCCCCAGAGAAGAGGCCCGGGAGCACTGGTGAAAGCTGCCCTCTGAACTCTTGGTCTAGAGGAGCAAGTCCCTTGCCTGCCTGAGGGCTTACCACGTTGGAGACGTTGGGCGATGCCCCCCGCTGCAGGAGGTTCTTCACGATGGGAAGGTGCCCCATGAAGGAGGCCACGTGGAGAGGTGTCAGGCCAGACTGAAACAGACAAGGGCAGAGTGAGATAAGTGGGGAGTCTTTCCGCTCCCCTGAAGAAGAGAGAACCTGACGGCATCTAACGCTTTCACAAATGGTTTTCCAAGAAAATGGAGTTATATGAGGTGGGTTTGCTTCCAAGAAAATGGTTGGAGAAAAAAATTACCGTGGGCAAGTCGTGCCCACTCTTACAACTTGCAAAAATTGTGTCTGATCTTGGAAAGCTCCATGAGACTTGACTCATGTTCCCCTGTCTTAGTCACCTCTAATTCATTCCTTCCAGCAGTCCAGACTTGCAGACGCACACACCCCTGCAGCCACACAAAGCTACAAAGAGCGACTCTTAGAGAAGGTGGGTCGGGGGAGACCACGGGCCTGCCCCCAGGCTCCTCTGCAGTCTCTCCTACCTCGGTGACCGCGTCAATTGAGGCTCCCGTCTTCAGCAGCAGCTCCATGACACGAACGTGGTTCTTTTTGCAGGCGATGTGTAAGGGGGTAAAGCCATTCTGCAGCCCACACAAAGGAAGACAGACAAGCAGGAGCTTACACACGGGCCCAAGGAACGCCCAGAAGACCACCTCGCTGCTCTAAAAGGCAGCTGCTGCCCAGGCCACCAGCAGATGCCCACAGACCAATCAATGAATTAATGCCAATTGATTAGTCTTACAATGTCAATTAATGCAAATCACGTAAGAGACAGGTGGCTCTCACTTGATGCACTACATATGTTCCTGAACATGTTGTTTATAAACCTTTTTAAAAAATTTATTCACATTTTGGATGCACTAAAAGATCCTGCTGTTTAAAGTCCCCTAAGGGTAAATTTACAATAAAAGAGTACTTTTGTGAAGCAAATCATGTTCCCTCTTCCCTGAAACCACTGATCATTTTTAGTGAAATGGATTTCTGCTCTAAAGTGTGATGTACTCTGAATATAAACTCTGACGGGCAGAAAAGTATGTTTGTTTTTGTCTGTTTTTTCAGTGCTTTACCCACTTAAGGCAGTGGTTCTCAAACGTGGGAGGTGGTGGTGGGGGGTATCATTTGCACCTCACCGCCAAAACATGTGGCAATGTCTGGGGACATTTTTTATTGTCAACTAGGGAAGGAGAGCTATGAGTGCCTAGTGGGTAGAGGCCCGGGATGCTGCTAAACATCCTACAACACATAAGACCACAAATATTGACCCCAAATATCAATAGTCCTGAGGCTGGGAAATCCCAACTCCCCTACAATAGCATGTGGCCTGCGGGCATTGCTCAGTGAAAGCTTTTTTGAGTGAGTGAGTGAGTGAATGAGCCATCCTCTGCTATCCCTGGAGGATATCCTGCCCCTCAGTTCTGCTGCCCTGGAAAGGGGCAGAGAGGAGATGTGGTTACGGGCATGCTTAGTGCAAAGCTACAGTCCTACTGGATCCCCAGACCTCCCTGGGAGCCCCTGTCCTGGGAAGGAGGCAGAGGAACCACAGAAGGGATTTGCTCTGGGCTTGAGCTTCCCTTTACACGAGTGCCATGAGAACTGCAAGCCCCTCTGTGGACGAAGGATGCTCAGCTCCAGCCACCTCACTCATCCCCAAAGCAGCTCAGAAAGCCACGCAGCCCCTAAGGAATCACTCAGCTCCAGGCCTGACTCCACTGGACAGGTGCCCCAAGCCTGTATACCTACCATGCAGGATGCTTCCTGAGTCCGGTTTCCTGGGCCCAAACTCACCCCTGACCTCGGCCTGGTCACCAGGGGCAGGGGTCGATACCTAGCTGGGTGTGCAGTGGAGGGTGCAAGAGGGGTGCACACAGGGCCCCCACCATCCTGTGCTGTCACACCCCACTTCTCAGGCCTCGAATCTGGGGAGCTCTGGGCACCTGCCGCCCTTCCCACAGGTCCAGCCATGCCTCTCTGGTCCTGCCCTGAGCCTGCCCTAACCCTCTGCACCTTCTCCAGCAGCCCCCCACTCACCAGGGCTCTGGAGTTGGGTTTGGCCCCTTTATCCAGAAGGACCTTGGCCACCCTGTGGTGTCCGCAGTGGGCAGCCACGTGGAGCGGGGTCAGGTGGTCCAGGGTGATGTCATCTATCTCTGCGTCGTATTGCAACAGGAGCCGGACACAGTCGAGGTGGTCTCCCTGAGCCGCCATGTGAATTGGGGACAGGCCGTTCTGGGTAAAGAGGAAAACACAAGCAATCACAAAGCCTTCTGGGGCCCGAGCATGGAGATTCAGGACGACTCCAACGTCACTCCCTACTTCTTCCCTACACGATGCTTCCACAAGGCTCCGGAGGGAGCTTGGCTCACCCTGGCCTCCACACTTCTGCCAGTCTCTGACCACAGACATTCTCCTTTCCACCTGGCCAAACCTTCAAAGCCATCTCCAGCAGCCCCATCTCTTCCAGAAAGCTTTCCCTGACCACCCTAGACTCCAGTGGGCTTTCCTTATCTGCGCCATGCACTTGGACCTTATTCTCATATTTGCCCAATTACATTCATAGTTAACTGTTTAGGGGAGTGTATCTTTTCATCTTTTCTCTTTACTTGTATGCCTCTTAAGATCAGTGACTGAGCCTAATATTTCTTCTTAAACGCCCCACAGTGCCCAGTAAATTCATGTAATACACATTGTGGTCCTTAAATTATGCAATTTTGAATGAATGAATGAATGAATGATGATAAAATAGAACTTGGATCTAAATCCCTCTGTTCCTTGTCCCTGTCAAATGCAGTTCAGTTAAAGAAAATTCATTAAGGATACTCATTTCTCAAACAGCAATTTGCTGAAAAAACATTAAAGAGAGGAGACTCACTCATTCATTCAGACATTAATTCAACACATACTTATTAAGTGATTAATATGCTCCTGGTGTGGGTTAAGCTCTGTGGAAACAGAAGAAAACAGACATAACCCCTGGCCCAAGGAAGCTTGTAGACAAACATGGTGGTGTCTTTCAGTGCCCTGAAGTGGGATGAAAAATGATCAAAGCACAGAGGTGAGAATCAAACAGATGGCGTCCCTGATGAAGGAGGGGCACCGGGAGGGAGGAGGTGAGGCCTAAACTAGGACTTGAAAGGAGCTGAATGGAAGTTCACCAGGAGGACCAAGGAGAACATCCTAGTGAAGGGAGCAGCATGGGCAACATCACAGAGGCAGCTACCCTAGGGGAACCCTGGGGCCTCCATGCAGTTCGACAGGCCAGGGCAAAGTGATGGCAAGCATGGAGGCGGGCTGGAGAGGAGCCCGGGGCTGCGCCAAGAAGGGCTAGGAGCTCAGGACTTGGGACTTCAGCTTTTCGAAAGTGGAAATGAGAGGATTTTCATCAAGGAAGACGCAAATCAGGTTCCATGACAGCAGATGTTAGTGTTACAGGCTGAATTAGGTCCCAACAAAATTCATATGCTGCAGTCTTAACCCCCAGGACCTCAGAATGTGACCTTGTTTGGAAACAGGGTCTTTGGGGATGTAATGAGCTAAAATGAGGTCATTAGTGTGAGTTCTAATCTATGACTGGAGTCCTTAGAAATAGGCAGATTTGGACACCTGCACAGCAGGAAGATGCCACATGAAGATGAAGGCAGAGGTCAGCATGATGCTTCTATAAGCCAAGGAAACCAAAGATTGTGCTCAAACCACCAGAAGCTTGGGGAGAGACCTGGAAAAGATGCTCCCTCACAGCCTCAGAAGGAACCGACCCTGCCAGGCACTGTAGCTCACCCCTGTAATTCCAGCACTTTGGGAGGCCGAGGTGGGCATATCACTTGAGGCCAGGAGTTTGAGACTAGCCTGGCCAACAAGGTGAATCCCCATCTCTACCCAAAATACAAAAATTAGTCAGGTGAGGTGGCATGGACCTGCAAGCCCAGCTACTTGGGAGGCTGAGGCATGAGAATTGATTGAACCTGTGAGGTGGAGGTTGCAGTGAGTGCAGATCACACTGCTGCACTCCAGCCTGGGTGACTGAGCGAGACTTCATCACACACACACACAAAAAAAGGCCAGGCACAGTGGCTCATGCCTGTAATCCCAGCACTTTGGGAGGCTGAGGCGGGTGGATCGCCTGAGGTCAGGAGTTCAAGACCAGCCTGGCTAACATGGTGAAACCCTGTCTCTACTAAAAATACAAAAATTTGCCAGGCATGGTGGTGCATATCTGTAATCCTAGCTACTCGGGAGTCTGAGGCACAAGAATTGCTTGAACCCAGGAAGTGGAAGTTGCAGTGAGCCAAGATCATGTCACTGCACTCCAGCCTGGGCGACAGAGAGAGACTCTGTCACAAAAAAAAAAAAAAAAGAACCAACCCTGCTGACACCTTGATCTTGACCCTCCAGCCTCTGAAAGTGTGAGACAGTAAGTTTCTGTTGTTTAACCTACTCAACGTGTGGTTCTTTGTTAGGGTGGACTGAGCTAACTCAGTTAGTTACACTTGCATTTCAGAAAGGTTGTACCATAGTTCCCAATGGAAAAGTCACATATTCTCATATTCTCAGAAAATACTTTTCATAAGCATTCCTTTCAGCCCCATTCTAATGATCTGGATAATAAAACAAAATATCTTAACTTCTGGTCATGTATTATGTTTAAATACAGCACTCCTGGAAAAATGTTGGGAATTTCCTGACCTAATAATCTAACTGATAGTAGCAATTCTACTTTCATTTAGCTGAGGAGTTTCACTGTTAGATATACTTTTGAAGACATTATCTCACATGGTCGTCCCAACAATCCTAGGAGAGAGGGCGGGGGCTCTCCAGATGAGGAAACTGAAACACAGAGAGGGCAAGACACATGTTCAGAGTCACACAGCAAATCAGCCAAGGATGGAGGGTTAAATGAGAGACTGCTTTAGTAGAGGACACCCTCATGCAACAGCACACACAGACACAAACAAGAGCCAGTGTGGGGACAATGAATCATGACGCAAATTAACGACAGCTCTACAGAACAGAACATGATAATGTGTTGGGAATAAATCAGCTCTCACTGTATGGACTGAGCCATCATTTCATGACAGAACTGCTCATGGGAAACATCCTGGGTAGCCGTGAGTGGGCCTGGCTTCTGCCTTGCTCTGCTCTGACACAGCTCAATTCACGGGGCAGAGGGCCTGGAGCAGGCTCAGGCAGCTCTGTGTGGCTGACAGCTTTCTTCCCTGGAAGACTTAAGTCCTTATGTTAGAATCACGTAACAAGCCTTTTCTCCGGCCTGTAATGGAGCCTGAGAAGAACTGTGTTCTTTTCTTTTTAACTTCGCTTCAGTCTGACCCGGGCTCTGAAGACTTCTCAGAGTACTTAGTGCCTGTCTTTTCTGGAGCTAGGAAGGGAGACATGGGGATTGATCTAGAGCAGTAGTAGGCAAACTATACAACCTGTGGGTCAAATCTGCCCCGCCACCAGTGTTGGTCAATAACGTTTTATTAGAACACGGGCCCTAGTTTACATATTGCCTATGGCTGCTTTTCTGCTACGTTGGCAGTGTTAAATCACTGCAACAGGGACCATGGCCTGCAAAGCCTAAAATTGTCTAATACCTGGTCCTTTAGATAAAAAGTTTGCCGACCCTGATCTAGTTATGAATTACAGCTACACTGAGTGCCTCCTATGTGACAGGCCTTGTAATAAATGTCAAAGGTGCTATTCATTTAGTAGTATTAGCATTTCTGTTTTACAGAAATAGGATTTGATGCCAGGTCTGTTGGACCTGGAGCCCTGCCTAAAAAATGCTCCTCACAGGAAGGAAGCACACACCTTGGTTTTGGCTTGGATTGGTGCCCCGTGGTCCAGCAGGATCTCTGAGATTCGCACGTGCCCATTTCGAGCTGCACAGTGGAGAGGTGTCAATTCGTCCTTTAAAAGACAGAGTCAAAAACAGAAAGCCCAAAAGGCAGCTATCAGAGGTCATTGGAGAGAAGACTGCCTATGGCATCGTCCCAGCCCACGCGAGTGCTGACGTTTCCTCAAGCACCAGCTCGACCTCAGCACAGTTTTACTACTGCCTCCCACTGCACGCGGCACTGCCCAGAATACCGCTGCAGGCAGCTCCAGGAGGCTGCGGGTGCATCCCTAACTAGGTCACCAAGGGCCCGCTGCTCTGGGTGAGGTTCGTGAGGGGGGAACTCCCTCCCCCTGCCTGGCTGCGGAGCCTGCTGGCACCCACCTTGGTCTTGGTTTCTATCTGGGCTCCCCGATCCAGCAGTAGCCGCACCATGATCACGTTGCCCCTGCGGGAGGCGATGTGCAGGGGCGTGATGCCATTCTGAAGGGAGGAAGCAGGACATCAGGGTGTGTCATCCTTCCCTGGAATGCAGCTGCTGTGCACCCGCTCCCCATATCCCCAGCTCCCAGCCCCCAGTCCTGCAATGGTGCTGTCAGGGCATTTCTAGCCTAAGACATTTTAAAACCTGTAAGGACCTGCCAACAGGATGGGTCATCCCACCACACCAGCCAAGCCCACGCCTCCCAGAGTCAACATAACAGACTGCAGGGAAGTCAGTTATTTGGAAATCACTCTCTGCCCTCCAGATTTCCCACTTCTAGGATGGGCAAATGGACTTTAGGGTTTTCTCAAGCAAAGCAGGTAGAAACTGGGTAGTGGATGGTCAGAAACCTGCCAGCAAGGAGGCTGAACAGACAGCAGGGCTGTTTGACCCACAGGCACTTCTGCCACTGGGATGAAATCCATGGTGCCAAGGCAGGAGCACCTGCTAGCCCCAAGCCCCCAGACAGTGAGGGCGCACCTGCCCCAGGTTACCTGTGGCGTGAAATTGACGCTGGCTCCCCTGTTGAGGAGTAACTGGGCCACGTTGAGGTTCTCGTAGTGGGCCGCAATGTGCAGGGGCGTGAATCCCGTCTAGGGCACAACAGAGGGGGAGAAACTTGTCATATGTGATTTACTTCTATCTCAGAGTCAGCCCTGGGATGCCCGAAACTCAGGTGGGGCGACAGGACTTTACAGACAAAGGAGATTTTGATGGGTGGCAACATTTGGTGAGGGGGTCAAGAGAGGCTCTGTGGCACAGTGTATTCAAAAGCTGGGTATCCACCCTGAGCAAACCGACTTATATGCTAACCTCAGACTCTGTGGGCCCGTTCGTCAGAGTGATCACCGACAAAGAGATTGTCATTCATGAATGAAAATGTGATGGGGCCATGCTCTTTTTTTTTTCTTTCTTTTTTTTTCCTCTCCATTTAGACAGGGTCTCACTGTGTCGCCCAGGCTGGAGTGCAGTGTGATGTGATCACAGCTCACTTCAGCCTTGACCTCCTGGGCTCAAGCAATCTTCCCACCTCAGCCTCCCCAGTAGCTGGGACTACAGGCGAACAAAATCCTGCCCAGCTAATTAAAAAAAAATGTTAAGAGGTGGGGTCTCACTAGGTTGTCCAGGCTGGTCTCCAACTCCTGGGCTCAAACCATCCTCCTGCCTCAGCCTCTGTCCATTGTCATCACTCTCTTCCAGAGCCTCAAGCCAGGCCTAACCCCACCCAGATGTTTTCCAGACAAAACCCGGTGGATCTGGGGCCGGCGGAAGAGGGGAGGGGCGGGGTGCAAGAGAATAACTCCAGCAAATCCATTTCCACTAAAAGAGAACCAGCAGCCTCAGCTTACAGACAGCAGATCAGCAGTGCCTCCGAACACCGGAGAGCATGCCCAGGTGACTGTGCAGAGCCCCGGACCCCCTTTCTCCACACCCCAACTCCTGCACGCCTCCTGCCTCCACTACGGGGCAGCCCGGGAGGAGAGATGAAGGAACACCAGGAAGGCCGCCTTCTGGCGTTCCAGGGTGACTCCCCCTGCCCGCCTGGACACATTTCCAGATGACGTGGAGCAACAGGAACCACCCGTGCTGCCAGGGATTTAGAGCAGGGCTGTCCAGGGGCCCCTCTGCGTCCTGGGGTGGGGACGCTCCGTGAGCACGCTGGGATGAGCGTGCGGCCCCGCACGCTCGGGGCTCCTGCTTGGGAAGTCGCAGGGTGTACTCAGTGCGCCCTGAGCCCCTCGGCATCCGCAGCCCAGGGCTCCTCCCTCCGCCTCGCCCTCACCTTGGAAAGCACGTCCGGGTTGGGGTCATTCTGCAGCAGCACCGCAGCCGTGCGCGTGTCGTCGTTGCGGGCCGCGATGTGCAGGGCCGGGAGGCGCACCTTTCCCTTGGTGCCGTAGTTGATGAGGTGCGCGACGACGTTTTCGTGGCCCTGCTGCAGGGCCACCGCCAGAGGCGTGAACCCGTCCTGGCCAGAGGAGGAAAACGCTTTGCTCTGACTCGTCTGAACCTAGCTGCCCTTCACACAGGACACACCCTTGCCCCTCGGGCTCATGCTCCCAGCGGCGCCAGCCTGAGGGACCTCCCTCCACCAAAGCCCTCTTCATCCACCAAGTTCAGCCTAAATGCCACCTCCTCCCTGAAGCCCTTCCTGCCTCCACTTCCTTTCTCTGCAATCTCACAGAACCTGCCAAATTTTTCTTTAGCATTCCTTTAGTTTTCCTTTATAATTTGCTTCCAGTTTGATTTGTTTTAAGAAATTTTGACTGCTCGGATTCTTTGCCTGCTCCCCTTCTCACCCCATATGCTGGTGCCAGGATAGCGCCTTGACAAAGCAGAACATTATTAACACTGACCAAAGGCCAGAGTCCACACCAGGCCCTGAGAATTCAATTGTGAGCTACTACTACTACTACTACTACTATTATTATTATTTTATTTTTGAGACAGGGTCTCGCTCTGTCACTCAGGCTGGAGTGCAGTGGTGCAATCATGGCTCACTGCAGCCTTGACCTCTTGGGCTCAAGTGATCCTCCCACTTCGGCTTCCCAAGTAGCTAGGAATCAGGCACACACCACCACACCCAGCTAATTTTCTTTTTCTGTAGAGATGGGGTCTTGCTGTGTTGCCCAGGCTGGTCTTGAATTCCTAGCCTCAAGTGATCCTTCCACCTCAGACTCCCAAAGCAGTGGGATTACAGGCATGAGCCACTGTGCTTGGCCATGAGCTACTATTACTAATTCCCTCAGTTGTGGATATACTAAGGGGCACAGGACCCCAGGAACTGATAAAACGGAATGACAACAAAGCATGTCATTGAGCCATCCAAAGTTAATAGTCAAGAGACTCCTTGGCTCTATCTAGTCCAATTTCATTATTTCGCCAGTGACAAGACTCAGGACCACAGCGAATGAGAATTGTCCAAGGGTGCATGGTGGTTTTGTGGCAAAAGCCTTTCTCATTAAGGCCCAATACAAACTTGCCAACCATACACACGCATGCTTTGCCTGCCCCTCCAGTCACAAGTATTGGCCATAGCAGGAATGACGTCCTCAAGTGTGACGTCGTTTCTTTGGTACGTGTCTGGGCCTTCTTCAAGACCCACAACTTTGTCATTATTCCCTTGCAGAACTCGACAGTGCTCAGGATTAGTGCAGCGACCTGAAGGTCATCCATCACTACATGGATGCGCCCCAAGCCACACACCCAGGAAGGTGTCACTGGGAGACTTCCGGTGGTGACAACATTTTTCCAAGGTACTTACTTCCGTGGCTACGTTCTGGTTAGCTCCATTTTCCAGTAAAAACTTAACCACTTCCAAGTGGTTCTCTTGTGCTGCCATGTACAGGGGTGTAAAACCTTTCTGTAAACCAAGAGAGGACATCATTAGCATCCATCCGCAATGTAAGAAAGGCCGACACCAGCACAACATCCTCTCACCTGGAGGACAGCACTCTCTTCATTCCATTTCCTCCCACCTGACCCCTCCTAAGGAAACTCATTGTCACGGTGACTGGCATCCTGGGATTATTACAAAAGGCCACAGAGGCTGTGCCTCCCCTCGCCACCGTAGGTCAATCTCTTCGGCTCACATACTCCTCATTGATGTCATCAATGCTGCACCCCGTGCCTCATTCCTCCAGTCCTCCATTTCTCTCTCCACCTGGGCCATAACTGGACATATTATTTGGCTTAGGTCCACAACAGTTCAACCCCGTCATGCTTAGGACGTGCGGTCTATGCATGAGAAATAATAAAGGATGTCTTCACCACTGCTTGGAGACACGCTCCTGAGAAATCTAGGTCCTGCCCCACAGTGTGTGTGTTAACACAGCTGCCAGTGGATGCACGAGGGAGCAGGAAAGAGGAAGCACGTATGGAAAGGCAGCACCCTCTAGTACAGAGCAGAGAGCCATTACCTGTGACTGGGCATTGACGTTGGCGCCATAGTTGACAAGCTCCCGGACCACCTCGTCCTGCCCGGCCAGGGCGGCGATGTGCAGGGCCGTGTTCCCCTTCTGAAACACACAGGGGAAGGGAACAGAGGCGGTTTCCCACTGGGCCTGCTATGGGACCAGCAAAGGTCTGTGGACAGGTGCTGCTTGAAGGACCCGGGGGCTTTCTTCATGGCCAAAAGGGGTAGAAAGGACACACGTGTGTGCTTGACCCCTCGCACATCCTGAAATCACACTGAAAGTACAGGGAGGAAAATCCTGCCTGTTGTCTATGAAAAACAATGCTGCAAGAGCCATAGAAAAGAAGGAAATCAGGTCTTCTGCAGCAACTCGGATGGAACTGGAGGCCAGTATCTTACATGAAGCAACTCAGAAACAGAAAGTCAAATACTGCATGTTCTCACTCGTAAGTATGAGCTACATAATGTGCACACATGGACATACAGAGGGTAGAGAGACACTGAAGACTCAGGGGGTGGGAGGTGGGGGCGATGAGAAATTATCTTTTGGGTGTGATGCCCACTATTTGGGTGATGGCCACACTAAGAGCCCAGGCTTCACCACTACACAATGTATCCATGGAAGAAAGCTGCATTCGTACCCCCTCAATCTATAAAAAGAAAAACATTTAAAAAGAAGACCATCAGCATTGGCTGGTGTAATTGGAAGTGGCGCAGGAAGGGGACAGATGACACTGAGAGGTGCGGTTGAAGGAGACTGCAGCCATGTCAAAACAACTCGTTTATTATTATTATGATTATTATGTATCCATAATAATTAAAAATCAAAAAATGTTTATAAAAGAAAAAAAGAGCCTCCGCCAACACACACAACTTCTGAACACCTAATCTGCTGTGTGGGTGCGGTGTCCTGTCCCTAGCAGACGGCACGTCAGTGTCCCTCAGGACACACACTGGAAGGCTTGTCAGCCAGCTGACCCTCCGCGGACCTGCAGCTCCGCTCAGCCTGCAACCCTGCAAGGCAACAAGCCCTCTGAGAGGCCTGGGAGCACTGGGAAAGGAGGCCGGCAGGTCCCTCAGGCCCACACCTTTGACACCATCCCAGGGATACCCACAGACCACAAGCTGCAGTGGAGGGGACAAAGAGATGGTAGGCAGGAGAGTGAGGAAAGTATTGGACAGTAAAGGAAAGGGTAAGATCAACTCTACTATGTATGTAGGGAAGAGAAGAAAAATCAGAAAATAAATGGGGGTTAATAAATGGAATACAATCTGACCAAGAAAAATACAAAGAATATGCGACATACTAGTAGGCAAAATGTTAACGAGTAAGGGTTCACCAAATCGGAGAGTAGAAAAAAACTGGAGAGAATAAACACTGGAGGAAAACAAGGCATGTAATTGTTTTAAACTTCGTAAAAGATGAGAACCAACAGCAGAGACTGAGAAATAAGGCAGGTTCTGAGAAAGTATGTTTTTGTTTTGTTTTGTTTTTAGAATTGGAGCTCTCACTCTAACACCCAGGCTGGACCGCAGTGGCACCATCATAGCTCACTGCAGCCTCCAACTCCTGGGCTCAAGCGATCCTCCCACCTCAGCCTCCCGCGTAGGTGGGACTAAGGTGTGTGCCACCGTGCCCAGCTAATTTTTAAAATTTTTGCAGAGACGGGCTCTCACTTTGTTGCCCAGGCTGGTCTCCCGTTTCAGCCTCTCAGAGCTCTGGGATTACAGGCGTGGGCCTGAGAACATGAGTTTAACGTTCTCAGGTTTTCTTGTCTGGATTCTTCTTGAATATTTAACAACAATTCACAGACAGGACCAGCAGCCTCCATCTGTTGCCGGGATACCCACAGCCTTCCAGCCAGGCTCCTGCCAGCCCCCGGGGGTCCTGGACCAGAATGTCAGCACTGCCTCTGGGGGTGGACTCCCCTGGGTGTCCTGCACCTGCGCCCCCATTCAGGGAGTTCGGGGGCGGGGGTGGGCAGGCTCCACTCCATGCTTCCGTCAAATAGGGCGAGTGTAGAAAAAGGGTCCATGGTCGGACCCATCTGTCCCTGCACTACTTAAGGAGCAGAGATCTCAAACAACCTCGTTTTTAGAGTTTAGACAGTATGTAGTTCTTTTTACTAAACTACATAATCGTTAACTAATCCATTTCAAGAAACTTAAGAACGGACAGGCAGGGACTTCGGACTCTGACCTTGCCCAGTGGCACCTGTCACCTGGAGGAAAAGCTTCCTCACTGAGATGGAAGAGAGCAGCCCGGGGCCCAGCCGTGTGGCCCCCCAGCCGCTGCTGACCCAGCTTTCCTGGGTCAGGGAGGCAGCCCATGAGGCCGCCCTGGGGGCTGGGAAGCAGCCCAGGTCTATTTCTTGTACTCTGCCTGGTAATTGAAACATAAAGCCTGGGGCTGGGTACAGCAGCTCACATTCGTAATCCTGGTGCTTTGGGAGGCCAAGGTAGGAGGATTGCTTGAGTCCAGGAGTTCAAGACCAGCCTGGGAAACAGTGAGACCCAGTCTCTGTGTCTTTAAAAAAAAAAAAAAGGCATAAAACCGGTTTTTTTGTTTGTTTGTTTGTTTGTTTAAAGGCAGGCACTTCCCATTTGTTGCCTCCTGAAGTTGTCTTTTTGATTTCTCCTCAAGTTCTATTTGATGAAGAACAAAGTTCTTCCTCAAGTATCCATTGGAGAATAAATGCCAGATATGAAAGTCTGGAAGTTCATTAATAATTTTTCATAGAAGTCCAAAGAGCCTCCATTGAGAGGCTTGGCACCTGCTGTACCAAATGCAGCACGGCTGCTGGCACCAGAAACTTTTCTAGACACCAGGATGCTGAGCTCCAAGTAGCGTCTTCTGGGCTCCCATGGAAAAGAAGGAGGCATCCTGGGTCCTTTCATTCACTGGTCACACGCTTCCTGGGCATAAGCACAGCAGGCCCGGGCCAGCATGGAGGCACAGAGGCCACGGAGACATCAAGAGGCTCACGTCAAATGTTTCTTTCCATCTGAGCCTTCCTGCCTGAAGTCCCGCGATATGAGAGCTTTCCTTACCCCACGAGGAGGGGAAGGCCCCCCTGTCTGGGGGAGCTCATCAGTGGTGGAACCCTGGCTATGGATCTTGGTTCAAGCCAGCTGGACCAAGGGCAGCATAAGTGAGCAATAAGAACACAGGGAAAATTCTGGAAGTGGACCTCCTTTCCCCTATCTATACACACACATTATGAGGCTCAAGAAGGCCCCTGGCCTAAGTCATGGGAGTCACAGGAAAAGGGATTTGTGAGCCTCTGTTTCCTCTGCCCCTCCCTCAATATGAAAGAACATTGCCTCAAAGGAGCAGGAAAAATCACTTAGCTGTATTTTGCTCCACAAATACCCAATTTCTCTATTTTCAGGGGCTCACAGAGCTCAGAGCAGGGACGAAGGTTGCATGGGTGCTGGGTGAATGCAAGTGGAAGGGGGAGAGGGACCCCGAGTGAGAGAGCAGGCTTTTCTCCAGTGGAGATGAAAGCTGTCCCCGTTCATTAACAGCTTAGGTGCCGAGCTCCAGTCTTTAAGAGCTGGAGATAGGAGGATGGGGAGAGAATGCATTTGTTTTATGCTTTTAAAATTTCTAAGTACATTTTAGGAATCTAAATTGGTTTTGGCTTTTTACTCTTTTTCTTTTTTTTTTTTTCATCTTTCTGCTGCCTGGGAGCCCCATCACAGTCCCCAATCTGTTGTGACTCTTCCCCAGCCCACGGTTTCAGTTCCACCTTTTTTTCCCCTCTCTCTCTGGATGGTATTCCAAAGCCACGTTGGCTTAGAAAATTTCTAAAAATAAAAAAGACACACCAAGTGTTCACTTGCAAAATCACAACCTGGGGAGGAGATTCGGAAATAGTCAAAGCACTGAAGCCTCGTGTTTCCGCAGCCCTTGAAGGCACGCCAGGGCAGGCGCCGCTCCGGCACACGCGGGGCAGGTCAGATGGCACGCAGCTCACAGCCAGGTACGTGGGAGTGTGCAGAGAAAATAATCTCATCCTTCATCCACACAAGAAGCAGGGTGGGAACAATCAGAATTTGACATAGAATTTGGGAAAAAAATACCCCATATCCAGTCAGAAAGAGCAATTCAGTTTATTTTACCCAAAAGTGCAATAAGATCTTTTCACATTCAGGAAATGACATGAAAATTACAGAATTTTACCTGAGAGATGATTCTACCTTCATAATATTTTGGTAGTTCACTTCATAACCATAAATTATATCTGTTCTCTACGTATTGTTCTTCTACACTCTCTGCTTGAGAGGCAGCAAACTGTTTGCTGCATGGAACTGAAATTGAGGCTGTGTGTGAGATCACGTGTAATAAATACCAAATGGAAAATAAGAGGCTAGCGGGGAAAGAACTCCAGAAGAAAAACATAGGAAAGGAACAGAGGAGGGAGGAGAAGAGAAAACAAGAACTAGGGGGACAATACTTGAGTTAGCAAATGGAGATTATTTTTTGTTTGTTTTATTTTATTTATTTATTTTTGAGAGGGAGTCTGTCTCTGTCACCCAGGCTGCAATGGCGTGATCTCAGCTCACTGCAACCTCCGCCTCCTGGATTCAAGCGATTCTCCTGCCTCAGCCTCCCGAATAGCTGGGATTACAGGCCTGCGCCACCATGCCTGGCTAATTTTTGTATGTTTAGTAGAGATAGGGTTTCGCCATGTTGGCTGGGCTGGTCTCAAACTCCTGACCTCAGGTGATCCTCCTGCCTCGGCCTCCCAAAGTGTTGGGATTACAGGCATAAGCCACTGTGCCCAGCCTGTTTGGTTTTATTTTTAATTGCCGGTTGCATCCTGTTGATAAATAAGATGCGTGACAGGTAAAAAATGAAACTTATTTTGCAATCTGTAGACGTATCAATTTCATGACTCTGGGATTTCAGAAGTTGAGTCACTGGTGTTTATAATCTACTGAAATTGAGTGAAATACATTACTGTGGATGCCTGACCTCGCCCCATGCCAAACGCCTCCTCGTGAAAGAGAATGCTGTTCCAGGTCATTAGCGAGGAGAGGAAATCAGTTTGGGGCTGAACAAGGAAGACTTGCTGGAGAAGGAAAACTGAAAGAGATCTGGATTCTTGTCTACAACCCTCAGCAACAACATGGTCACCAGTATTTATTGATTCCTTACTATAGGAATCAATAATCATTAATACACCAGTAATCAATAAATAGATCCAATAAGCAGTAAATACATCCATCCAATAAATACATCCAGGCATTTGATGTATGCCATCTCACTTAATTTTCATACCAACCCTGCAACTAAGCATTATAATCTCCATTTTACAGACAAAGCTAAGGCTTCATAGTGGCCAAGTAACTCATCCCAGGTCGCAGAGTGTGAAGTACGTTGCTGGGATTCAACTCCAGGCACCTGACTGGCGCTTTCAGAGCCCTTGGACACTGAGTTAGAGTCAAAGACCCTGAGAAAGCATAGAGCAACCAGGAAAGGGCTGTAGTTTTAGATATGTAACCTAGTGATGAGAATAAAGGCCCACTGAATCTTTCTGGAAACGGGGTCTGTTTCAGGCAGCTTCAGGGATTCAGAGAATCAATAGAAAGTGATTGGAAGGATAAGAGAAATTCAGATGCATGCCTGAGTTCTCTCATGAAGGACTGATTTCTAAGGAAGGACTCACAAACTTGAATTTTCAATGCAAAGCTCCCCCACTCCCTGTGAGACATACCTTGGTTGTTGTTTCTAGAATGATTTCTTTGTGCAGAAGTTCAACCACCATTTTCACATGGCCTTCCTTAGAGGCCAGATGCAAGCCATTCAACCCATTCTGTAAAGAGCAGAGAGGCGGGAACGGGATGGTTAGTCAAATGGTGCATTCTGCAGGTCCCAGTGGGGGCCCAGGCCCCTTCCCAGCCCTGAGGTGTTCACAGCACTGGAGGGAAGGAGTGGAGGGTGTCTAGGGGTTGAAAAGGGCACAGGGCAGGGCCACCCAGCCTCCCCTTCACGCCTCAGGTCACAGCAGAGCAGAGGTAGAAAGGAAGGGCAAGAACTGGCCCACCACTCCCAGATGGGAATTGCGCAGGAAGCTTTCACAAGACCCATGGTGACCTTGAAATTCAGGTTGAGGCCAGGCTTTAGGCAGCCCACTTAATTAAAATGATGTAGCTTCAACTCCTGGTTAATTTTCACAGCAGTGACCAAGAAAAGCAAAGTGGTAACACCAGTGCATCCTAAACGCTTGTAGAAATAGACATATGTTTGATAAGATGTTAAACTTTGAAGCAAGCTCATATGAGAAATGAATACCACCAACCATCCAGCTGTAAGATTTCCTCAATAGAAAAATCAGTATTAAAATAGCCCCTTTGGCCCAGTACAGTAGCTCATGCCTATAGCCCCACCACTTTGGGAGGCTGAAGCAGCCTGGTTGCTTGAGCCCAGGATTTTGAGACCAGCCTGGGCAACGTGGTAAAACCCTATCTCTACAAAAGAAAAAAAAAAAAAAACCCATAGAAGTAGCCAGGTGTGGTGGTGTGTTCCTATAGTTCCAGCTACTCAGCGGGCTGAGGTGGGAGAATCACCTGAGCCCGGGAGTTTGAGGCTACAGTGAGCTGAGATCCTGCTACTGCCCTCCAGCCTGGGTGACAGGGCCAGACCCTGTCTCAAAAATAAAAATAAATATAAAACATAAAATAGCCCCTTTGCCATCCCATAATTTCAGAGGTGACCAAAGAAGCCTGGCTGACAGTTAAGCTTTAGGCAAAGCAAAAACAAACAAACAAACAAAAACATTTTCCCTGCCCAACCCTTAGCCCACAAGAGCAGAACCAATTAAAATTTAACCAATTAAAGTTCCAACTGCATTTGGTGAAGCTGCCACTGTGCTTTATGGAAGGCAGCCAAGCTCAAGTTTTATGTATCACTCTCATGCTTCCTGCTCTTCTGATCCTTGCCCTGAAAGGTCTTGAAACTTTCTGGCAAAAGCTGACATCAAGGAGTACTACTCGGAGCCACAAATAAGTCTGACAACATGAAGGAGCAAAATATCAATTCCAACAGATGAGTTGATCTTGGCTCCGTATAGAAAATGATTTTAGTCAGTGAGCAAACTCCACCCCCCGCTTTTTTATTTTGTTCCTGTCCTCCTCCTTCCCCACTAGCAATTTTCCCCTCCTCTCCTGTTCCTCCTCCTCCTCCTGGCCTCCCGTTTTGATTAATTCTGTTCTATCTTGTTCCTTTCCAGGGGAGGCCTCAGAGCCACTGCAGGCTCCAGCTCATGAAATAGATCCTCGCCACCTAGACAGAGGGCTTGGTTTCTGCAGGTATGATGTGTGGGGTCCCTGACTCACATGTCCCCAAATATCTCCGCAGCCCCACCCTGCGTTCCTCAAATTCCAGCTCTCCCACTATGTCAGGGCATCATTTTCAGGAGGTTCTTGTTCAAACACAAGTATTCTACATGGGAATGGGAGTGCATTAGCCCATTCACAGATTAGGCAAATTGCTTTGCCATAACTAGCAGAGGAAAGTCACCCAAAGTCACGATAGGAGAATGGAAGGGGTCCAGTGCTTCTTTTATGTGGGGGCCTTGGACAGAGGAAATATAACAGGTGCCTTGGATGTTAGAGAAATGAGAGGGGGCTGCAAAGGGAACATTAACTATCTCCTATGTAGGTCAGGGCAGCCCTACACCCCCGCCTATCAGCACAGCCAGCCTTGCCAGGGTGTGTGTGTAGGGGAGAGAGGGTGGTTCACCAAATATTTCCTCATGCAAATGCCTGAAAATGACCACTGGCCATTAGATTTCCTCCTCTTGCAGATTTTGCACACCATTCACTGAAGGGTCCAAAGCTGTGTGGATTCTTCTCACCCGGTGTGAATGAGTTTATCAGAGAAAGCTAGGTCAGAGCCATTCTGGGTAATAGAGAGGGAGAAAGTGCTTGAGGGCCAAATGGGAATCCAGGAGAAGGGGAGAGAGCACTGGGCAGGCAGAAACCAGTTCCCCTCCCCTCAATTTGCAAGAAAAATTCACTGCAAAGCAATTTGTTGAGTGACCAGTGCGCTGGTAGCCCGGAGTCATTCTTGCTTCTGCCATCTTGCAACTCTTTTCTGGGGTGGGTGGGCAGGAAGGAGTCCCTGCTCCTTCTCAGAGCAGGGTGAGCTTTTTCAGGCAGCACACAGCATTTCTGCAAGCGCTCTTCCAACCCAGCGACAACCTTATCAAGAAGCTTCCTGGTGCTGACAGCGGATGCCCTGTGATTGCTTGGGAACTGGGGTGGTGTTTGTGGCTGTGGGCGCGGCTGGAGTGACAGTCCGGCAGCTGCCGCGGGCTGCTTACTGCGGGAAGCTGACTCGCAGCGGCAGCCAGCTTTGACTTGGTGCTGACGGCTGGGGTTTTAGTGTTTACTTGGGCAGCACAGTCGCTCTGATGAACATTTGTGGGTCCTGAATGCATCAAAGCCGCAAAACCAGCAAGCCTGGAAAGAAAATAGCTAATGCTTGCTGCTAATGCTCTGGGACGGCCGGCCCCTGCTCTTTGAGGCCAATGTCAGGATTTCAATCTGGAGGCATTCTAGATATACTGTCTGACCAGAGAATGCAGGACTCAAAAGGGATATTAGAGGTCCCTGAACTCCACCCTTTCATCTGCAGCTGAGGAAGTTGAGGCCCAGAGTAGTCAAATGATTGGCAGAGGCCACACAGCCTCTCCAGGGCACACCCACACACAGGACCAACCTGGAATTCCCAGGAAAAAAGAGTTTTGGTTTTCTTCCCCCTAAAAACTACTGTGATAACTGGCTGGGCACGGTGGCTCACATCTGTAATCCCAGAACTTTGGGAATCGAAGCAGCTGGATCACTTGAGGGCAGGAGTTCGAGACCAGCCTGGCCAGCATGGAGAAACTCTGTCTCTACTAAAAATACAACAATTAGCAAGACGTGGTGACACACGTCTGTAGTCCCAGCTACTCAAGAGGCTGAGACAGGAGAACTGTTTGAACCTGGGAGGCCAAGGTTGCAGCGAGCAGAGATCACACCACTGAATTCCAGCCTGGGTGACAGAGAGAGACTCTGTCTCAAAAAACCAAAACAAAACCCCAAACGACTGTGTTTCTTTTTATCAGATGATGAAAGCATATCTTCCCTTTTCTGGTCTCCATGAAGTTTAGAGCTAACGAATGGATGTGACCTCGGCAATTGATCTCTAGGATTTTATTCATCGCCCTGATCTGCAGAAAATCCCCTTTCTTCCCTTCCTGGGTCCCGCGCTTCCCTCGCAAAGGGCAGAGAGTAAGGACCCTTGCCACGAAAGGGGCCTCCTGAGTAGGCCCGCCTCTCGCAGAGCTGCACTCTCCCTCCATCCCAGATACTGGCTCAGTGACCTCCATCTTCTTTATGATTTTTGAAAAATGTTTTCTCACTTTAGTGTAAATTTGTCTTTAACATAGTCACCCTAAATCACTTCCAAGTCTATTACTATGGGGATCTGAATCCACTGTTCTTAGCAGGGCCACTGAATCAAACCCCATTGGGCACAGTTCATGAGAGAGATGCAAGATGGCCTGGGAATGCAATGCCTGTAAAAACCACATGGGGACGGGACTGCAGAAGCACTCATCTCAAACACAGGTGTGAGCACTGTTGCCATCAAACGCTGAGCAATTACTTAACCCAACTCAACAAATATTTATTGAGAATCTAGTCTGTGTCTAGCCCTGTGCTAGAAATGAATCAAACACAAACTGTTTCCCTTGAAGTACTCAGTTTTGTAGGGAACACAGATGCATAAAAAAATAAATGCAAAATCATGTGAAAAAGGTCCCAAACAGCATGTAAAGGGGTAGAGGTGGCACAGAGGAGAAAGGAGTTGCTCTGTCAAGAAGGCCCAGAAAGCTTCACAGAGGCCTTTTCAAGGCAGAGGAGCCCACCTGCACAAAGACAGGGTTGCAAGTTCATTAACAACAGCAAGATGAGAAGCGTGTCTGAGTTTAGATTCTAAACCCATAAGCTAAAATATGCTACCAGCTCTCTCAGCAAGTAACCTCCTCTTCCTTTCCCAAAGCATTTGGATACAAGAGATGCACAAACATCCAGACCCCAGCAGCACCTCTCCTCCAGCAATTGGTCTTAGTAGGTAGATGGCTGCGTCTACCTACCTAAGGGGTGGTGACAGCCACAAGTCACCACCATCTAGCAGCGGAAGTTGCTGAACATCTGAAAATGAACCTTCTGCACACACACACAAAGGAGCTTGTACAGCTGTCTTATTAAATGTATAACTAGTTTATACAGGAGACCACTTCTGATATCCAAAAGAGCATTTCGTGGATAAGTACCATATCTAATACTTCCTTTTTCTTTAAGCAGATTTTTCATTGCTCAAATGAGAAGGAGGAGGAGGAGTGCAAATTATGTGAGCTATTTGTTCTTAGCTGTAACTATGGACAGAGATGAACTGTAATTTACCACCTCTTCAAAACTGAGAATCATGTTTTACTTTAGCTAAATCAAGTTTAAGTTAGCTTGGTTGCTAAAAGGCAGCTTGCTGAGACTTGCTTTGAATCTTTTTGGTGACTCCCTCTCACCTTCACAGCCACTTTTCTTGAAGCCAAACGGCAGACAGGCTGTTAAAGGGGTTTGGGGGTGTGGATAAATCACACATTTCTTCCCTCAAATAACAGGGTGTAGAAGATAAGCAAGAAGGAAGTGGAAGGATATAAGAGTAAATGATTTCACTAAATTAGAAGCTGGGGAGAAAAGCAATAACAGCTTGTGGCCATTTTTTAACCATATGGCTTTTCCTGGAGGAAAACACCAGTTCACTAGA